TTTGGCATTCACTAGCAAGCTTTGTTATTCCCTCTTCTATAAAATTGTGCTGTTCCATCGCTATTGTACACAACTAATCTCTGAATATCATATCCTGTTATCAAGCTAAATGTATAATTGTGTCCTCGCATACGCCTGTTCTTGTTATTGGGACAAGACTGGTGATTGTATACATCTCAGCACTGCAATAAAAGTTGACAAACGTTCTCTGCACATTGGTAGCCCTAAAGGGGGTAAAAAAGCCTTAAGTCAGCTTGGTATACAGAAATGGCAGACTGACATGTCCTCTTCTGGACGATCCTCACACTTTGGGAAGGCCTACTTCTTTCCCAGGCAGTTTCACCCCTAGTGAGAACCAAAAGGTTCCAATTCAAAGAGAATCCTTATTATTCCACATGGTGATTTTTTCTCATATAAAGCCAGTGTGATTAGATAGGAGGCCAGAACATTAGACCGGTAAAGTGAATAACACTGATTACATAGAAACATAGAATGTGACGGCAGATACGAACCATTCGGCCCATCTAGTCTGCCCAATTTTATAAATGTCGTTACAATAGCACCTAGAGGTGTGGGATATATTGGGCAACAAGTAAACAGTCAGTTCTTGAATTTCAACCAGCTTTAGGTTCATGGGTTACTTTGCTGTTTGTGCAGGCCTCACCTCCTTATACCTCCTACCTAGAGATTGTTGCTGACCACATACACCCCTTCGTGACAATGGTGTTCCCTGAAGGCAGTGGCCTCTTTCAGCAGGATAATGCATCCTACCACACTGCAAAAATTGTTTAGGAATGGTTTGAGGGACAATATTTGCTTTGGTCTCCAAATTGCTGGAACAACAAATCCAATCCAAGCAGGTCCCACCTCACAACTTGCAGGACTAAAATGATCTGCTGGTAATATATTGGTGCTAGATAGAGTCTAAGCCAGGGGTTCTCAACCCTGTCCTCAAGGACCCCCTACCAGTTCAGGATATAGGGATTACCTGGGTGTGTCTAGGGTGTTTAGAAAAAGGGGGAAAAAAACACCTTAGACACACCCAGGTAATCCCTAAATCCTGGACTGGTAGGGGGTCCTTGAGGACTGGGTTGAGAACCCCTGGTAAACATTGATGCATCCACTGTTTTGGCAGCACAAGGGTAAGCTACAGGATATTAGGCAGGTGGTTTTAATGTTGTAGCGTGTGTGTGTGTGTGTCAAGGTGGGTATCTTTCAGTGTATGTATCTGTGTGCCACCCCGGGTGCGATGTAACCTAGGTATGCTTCTGCCCCAGCATATGTAAAGACAAGGCAATTGGATCTTCCTCCATCTGTTCACAAAATAAATATGTGACCTAGGATCCCATGACCTACTGACTTTAAGATATTTGAGTTAGCAAATGGAGTAAGCATACAATACAATACAATTGACTGTAAAGAGAATAACAAAACTTCAACGCAAATGCATAATTAATGAGAACGAGTCATTATCTAAGTTTCACTTTAGAAAGCGCAACTGATAATGACAATTATTGCTTTGATTTAGCATACACCGAATTTGCTGACACTTGGTTTTGCTATTATGAAAATAACCAAATGTAATAGCTATAGTATATCTCTGAAAGTATCATTACACTAACATCCCTATTCTTCTGCTTGTCCCCTGCATCAATGGCTAGAATTATATTAAAACAAAACAACACACAAACATTGGCTGGAATTTTCATTCTGATGATTTTCTCATTATTAATTTATTTAGTCTATAACAAAGTAAATATCTGTCATTGATTTTACAACAGATTGTATATTGATTACTATTTCTGTTTTAAGAACTCTTAGTATGGTCATAAACGATCTGAAATAGTATAGTGCATCTGAGAGTAAGTTTAACCCCTTAAGGACCAAACTTCTGGAATAAAAAGGAATCGTGACATGTCACACATGTCACGTGTCCTTAAGGGGTTAAAGAAACAGTTCAAGTACCAAAGCCACTATAGTGCGCAGTACTCTGGTTCACTCCCATTCTGAAAAAATATTTATTTATTTAATAGTCCCAGGTATGAGGTCCCACCCCATTATTATAATTAGAGCCATAATCGCTTGAATTGTCAGTCATTTAATGCACATTGCAGTTTGTTAATTTGTGTTTCATACTAATAAACTAATTGCGTGAAATTCAGATGCATGTGCATTTTTTTCTGAAAATGAATGTCTAAATCTATTGGAGCAGAAATATTTCACAACCCTATTGGGAGAATAAAAACATTATAATAAAGACATTCCAGTAACAAAAGGAACAGGAGTGCTTGGCAAGTTAGCTCATAAACTTGCAATTAAAAGGGTATAACGAAGAGTTGTGAAAATGGACTTTAGGGTGAATTTGATATCTGTAAAACGTCCAGGATTCAGCAGTGTTTGGGGACCTTGTTCCACTCTCTTGGCTTGGCAGTCTGGGGTCCTTATTCTGGGTGCACCAGAGACCAAGTCCTCCAAGACCATGGGGTTAGTACATTATTAAATGTGCATGCACTGCGCAAACGGCATTGAGTTAATACAAGTGTGTGCATGTGCAGCCCTCATGGTGTTGTCCGTATGGGCTGTTTTGGCCAGGCTGCCACACCCCATTTTCAAATGACAAAGCTACTTTTATGGGCAGGATCACATTTTATAACGGATGGGCCTATCCCTCAGTACGTCACAGGGTCCACTACATTGTGATATGACAACCCCCTCTCCTGAATTCATACATCTTATTGTTGGCAGCTATTGAAATTGATGGCAGGAGAGTAAGGATATATGCAAGTTTAGTGCTTCTTAATCTTCTTAATCTTAATTCTTGATTGATTAAAGGAACACTATAGCACTAGGAATACCTATCTAGGTGCCTCCCCGTCATGTGAGGGTTTGAAATGTGAGATTTACTTATCTTTCAGTCCACGCCACTCTCCTCGCTACCACTCTGCCTCCTTGGCGGAGATCATCAATGATTTACATTGCTGGCTTGAACAGACAGAGCACAGCATCCAGACCAACACTTTTAGTCTTTCTTTAAATACAATAAAAACCAAAGAAAAAGTTACCTGGGCTCTCTCCTGAATACCTGTTTATTTTTAAACAAATGGAGGTCATTTAGTTACTCCAATGACCATTGGAAGGAATGCCCGCATGCCAACGTTAAGGCAGACCCCCTTAGGTGGGTCCTACACTGACCTTTCACCTTGCTTCCTGAGCTTCTGGAAAAGATATCTCTAATGAGACAGAGAGGGGTATTTTTATATACACCCCTGTATACTTATTAACCCTTAATAGGGAACACATTGGATGAGCGGCAGCATTGTAACAAAGCTGTGTTATACAAAAAGTGAATACAAATACAAAAGGATAAGTCCTGCACTCACTCCCATCACTCCTGGGCGGCAGCAACGAACACAGTACACATAAGCCCCAATATATACAGAAAAAAACAAAGAAAAAGTTACCTGCGTGCTCTCCTGAATCCCTATGTACTTTTAAACAAATGTAAATGTAGTTACTCCAATGGCCATTGGAGGGAATGCCCGCCTGCCAACGTCAAGGCAGACCCCCCTAGGTGGGTCCTACACACTGGCGGGTCCAGGGGGGGGGCAACGGGGCAATTGTCCCCCCCGAGAAATCCGCCGGTCTCCCTCCCCTGCCAGGACATGCAGGCGCCAGCCCTGCAATGTGCCTGCGGACCGGGGGGGAGATCAGAGATCTCCCTCCCCGGTCCGCAGGCACTGTGCTGGCGGCCGGCAGGGGAGGGAGAGGGAGGACCCGGGAGCTCAGTCTGCAGCTCCTCCGGGTCCTCCTCTCGCGAGATTTGGAGCGTTGCCGCGGTTACCACGGCAACGCTCCAAATGTCGCGAGAGTGAACTCTAGCCCGGGAGCGCGGGCTAGAGTTCACTGTAACCACTGGGACCACCAGGGAATCACCACTGGGACCACCAGGGATTCACCACTGGGACCACCACTGGGATTCACCACTGGGACTCACAACTGGGACCACCAGGGATAAAAATATGTCCCCCCCTCCTCCTCAATAAAGGTAAGAAGGGAGGGGGGACATAGAATATTTGTTTTTTTTAAATTAAATAAATAAAGATACATATTATTAAAAAAAAAAAGCCCCCCCCTACCCTTAACACACACACACATAGCCCCTATACTGCCCCCATACACATCCTGCCCCATACACATACTGCCCCCCTATACACACATACACTTCCGCTCCCCCCATACACATGCTACCCCCCCCATACACACATACTGCCCCCATAATAGCCACATACTGCCCCCATACACACACATAATACTGCCCCCCATACACACATACTGCCCCCATGCACACATGCCCTCTATACACACATACTGCCCCATGCTGCCCCCATACACACATAATACCTCCTATGCTGCCCCCATACACACATACTGTCCCCATACATACTGCCCCCCCCATACACACACATAATACTGCCCCCCACACACATACTGCCCCCATACACACACACATACTGCCCCCATGCCCCCATACACACATACTCACCCCCCATATACACACACACTGCCCCCATACACACACTGCCCCTATACACATACTGCCCCCCATACACATAATGCCCCCACACATACTGCCCCCATACATACTGCCCCCATGCACACCCCCATGCATACATACTGCCCCCAATGCACACATACTGCCCTCATACACACATACTGCTCCCCATACACACACACTGCCCCCATACACTGCCGCCCCATACACACACTTTGCCCACATTCACACACACACTGCAACTGTTACACACACATACTGTCCCACACATACACTGCATCCCTGACATACACTGCCCCCCCTACTCACACACTACAACCTTCACACACACACACACACTGCTCACACACTGTCCCCCTCACACACACACACACACTGCACCCCTTACACATTGCACCACTCACACACACCACTGCTCCTATGCCCTACTACCGCCCCATTTCCCAGCAGACCTCAGGTAAGTTGTCAAACTGTTCTTAAACGGTTTGACTACTTACTCTAGGAGGGGGTCCCGGCACTATTGACACCATAACCACTACACTGAGCTGTAGTAGTTATTGTGTCTGGATTATTTCTTTAATCTACAAGTGCCCCTCCCGAGATCAGGCTCTGGATCCGCCACTGGTCCTACAGTGACCTATCACCTTGCTTCCTTGAGCTTCTGGCAAAGATATCTCTAATGAGACAGAGAGAGGTATTTTTATATACACCCCTATATACTTATCAACTCTGGGCAGCTCTATGTATGTACTTCCTAGTAGCATATGGAATTTATGGCCGACTGATAATGCATGATCGAGGTAATTGTCTAAATCAGTGGTAGTCAACCTTTTTCTACCTATCGCCCACTAATGCATCTTTCTTGACGGAAAAATTTCCTTACCGCCCACCAGTTTTCGCGCAAGTGCAAATTATTTTTTAGAAAGGATGGTGTTTAAAAAAAAAAATAAATGTACATACATTTATCTTTTTATTTCTACTTAATGCATGTTTATAATGTTTTAAACTATAAACTATAAAGTTTAATGAGAAAACAATAAAGTTAATTGAAATTACCTTTACTAGTGATTAATGAGATCCTTGAGGTTGATGCCGCGAGACTAAATATTTGATATCAGGTTCGATTTTCGTAAGGAACAAACGAAGGTCTTCTCTTTCGGTGATATTCAGACGACTTCTCTGTTTGCGCATAATATGATTTCTCATCTGTGTGTCAGCTCCCCTCCTCTCCCTCCTCAATTCCCCTTCCCACCTTTTTTCCCCTTTTTTCTATTTTTTTAACCTTACTTATAGCAATGCCCAGTAGGAAGGCTGAGCTAGGTAGCCCACTTACTATTAATTACTATAGCCCACTATAACAGCCAGGCACACATACATACAGACACACACACACATAAGACACACACATACAAAGACACATACATACAAACAGACAGGCACACAGAAAAGGAAAACACACACACACACAAAAGACACATACATACAAACAGACAGGCACACATACAGACACACACACAGACATGCACACATACACACACATAAGATATACATACAAAGACAAGACACACATGCATACAAAGACACATACATAAGACACACATACATACAAAGACAAGACACACACAACACATACATACAAAGACAAGACACACATACATACACACACACAGACACACACACACACACACAAGACATACATACAAAGACACACACATACAGACACAAGACACACACACATACAGACACAAGACACATATACATACAAAGACAAGATACACACAACAGATACATACAAAGACAAGACATACATACATACACACATACATACAGACACACACACACATACACACACACAAGACATACATACAAAGACACACATACATACAGACAGACACACACATATAGACAGACACACACACACAAGACATACATACAAAGACACATACACACAAACAAACACACATTATATTTAAGTCACCCTCCTGTTTCCGACCTTTAAGGTGCAGGAGGGTGACTTTCCCTTGGGTCCAGTGGTGGCTCAGATGGATGGGAGTCAGAGTTCCCACTCTGACTCCCTCTGCTTCCTCCCGCGCGATCTGTGTGTTAGCTGGGAAGAGTGACGTGCAGTCACTTCCTCCCAGCTCTGTGATGTAATCACAGGGGGCCCGGTTGCGCTGTTAAAGCGCCCAGCGCTGACCGGGCCCCCTTACAATCCACATCCATCGGGTGGCCCTGACAGCATGGGCCACCCGATGGACCCCTTGGACGGCGGCCCCGGCGGTTTGCCGCGTGGACCGGGGCCGCAAACGGTGACGTCGGTACCCGGTCGCAGGGGTATCGCCGGCTCACACCCGCCCGCCTAATCTCTCAAAATGAGGAAATCCCTACCGCCCACCTGGAATCCTGAAATGCCCACTAGTGGGCGGTAGGGACCAGGTTGATGACCCATGGTCTAAATGCTCTGTGTTATCATCTACTGGGGATTCCCCTCTTCATAACGATTATGAAAAACATGACGAGGCATGGTGGCTATGGCGTCTGAAGTCTTCCTTTATTATCATTTAAACACAAATTACCTTCTTTAAATAGAAAATAAATTAAAATAGGCATTACACTAGTGAAGCAAATTGTTAAAAAAAAATAATTTTTAAATAGCCATAAGAAATCACTAATTACAACTGTGTAATGAAAAAAAACAAAAAAACATTTTCTGCAGATTGCATAATAATTTTTAACAAGCCTTTTGTTGCTACAATAAAGAAACAGATTGTTGCAGAGTCTAAAATCATATTATATGATTTAACCTGCACTTTAGTGAGAACTGGAAGTGTATAAAAAAATAAATATATTTATTTACACGTGATTAGCACAGTTGTTTACTGTGTAAAAAGAAGGGCATAGTACAATCCACATTCTTTCCAGATATGCTTAAACACAGCAAAGCAAACAATAATGTGCGCAAATAAACTAGTCAGCTGAATGCAGTGCACTCACTACACTAGACAAACAACCTACCAGCCATGTCTTCATTTACACTTTGTATTGCTCTGGTAGAACAAATTGTTCTCACTATTGTCAAATCCTTAAAGAGGAACTGTTATTTCTACAGATTGAGCAGAACCGAAAGGCCAATTAAAAGTTAGCTGTCAGTTGTGCTTAAAGGACCACTATATTGCCAGGAAAACAAACTTGTTTTCCTGGCACTATAGTGCCCTGAGGGTGCCGCCACCCTCAGGGTACAACTCCCACCGGGCTGAAGTTGGAGGAAGGGGGTTAAACACTCACCTTTCTCCAGCGCTGGGCTACCTCGGCGCTGGGGACTCGCCTCCTCCTTCCGATGTCATCGGCTGAATGCGCATGCGCGGAAAAAGCCGCGTGCGCATTCAGCCAGTCCAAAGGAAAGCATTCTCAATGAGACAGCCACTAGAGGCTGGATTAACTCATATGTAAACATAGCAGTTTCTCTGAAACTGCTATGTTTAAAGCAGGCAGGGTTAATCCTAGATGGACCTGGCACCCAGACCACTTCATTGAGCTGAAGTGGTCTGGGTGCCTATAGAGGTCCTTTAAAGTTTTGTTTTTTTAATTCATTTTCTTTCTTCATTCTTTAAGTTACATACTTTGATGGCCAAGGCTGGGCATAGTATGTGAGTAAGTCAATTCTCACAATGTTGTACAATGCACACATAAGTACTATGAGATGGAATTCCTCACATTCATGCGCTCGTATGGAATTACTCTGTGAAATGCCGGGTGTGCATGAGTGCACATGAACCCACGTAAGTGCATTGGAGGTAAGTATGTTTGCTACTTACCTCTGCTGCTCTATTGATCTTAGTAAATACTGTAACGCTGAAATTTAACCCTGGTGCATATGCTATAGTTTGCAGTGACAAGTAACTTTTAAGGACTAGCTAGTAGTATAGGACTTTAAGGCATTATAAATATAAATGTATAAATACATACACTTCCAGTCTTAGCTCAGAGCTGAGAGCTTCCATCTGCAGGGATAAGCGAAGAGTGGCATCCAGCAGATTCCAGATAAGAAGTCCAACTGTTACCAGAAGGTTTGACTGGTTTCAGTGGAGGAGCACTAGGGCACTTGTGGCACCATACCCACCTTTAATATTGTGTGAAACTGTTACAATATCCAAAATGGCTGCCAAACAATGTAACCTAGGTGACCAAGAATAAGAACATTAATGAAGGTGAATCTAAGTTACAGCATAACCTCACACAGCAGTTTGTACATACATGTAAGAATAATTTTACATTGTAAGGAAATGGTCACCAAAACAAAGATGGCTGCTAGACCATGTGACCCAAGACATGTTTGTTACAAATAAATACATAGATCTCTACCAATGCACCCAATTTCACAGGTTTATGTAGGTATTTGAAGAAAGTGGCTTAAAGGGACACTATGGGCACCAAAACAACTTTAGCTTAATAAAGCAGTTTTAGTGTATAGATTATGCCCCTGTGGTCTCACTGCTCAATTCTATGCCATTTAGGAGTTAAATCACTTTGTTTATACAGGTCTAGCCACACCTCCCTGCATGTAACTTGCACAATCTTCCTAAACACTTCCTGTAAAGGAACCTAGATATTTTAGGTTACTGTATTGCACAGTCTGTTTAATCTAGGATTTCTTAGCTTCTACTCGGTTAATAGCCCCCTAAACACTACAAGGATCTCATATGTATAATTGAAGTTCAATTGAAGAGCAGGTGATAAAAACTTATAATGCAAGTTAATGTCTGATTAAAAATTATACAATTTTTTTCATGCAGTTTTAGTGAGTCACAGACAGGGCCAGTGGCATACACACAACCCATTGGGCCCAGGTGCAAAAACTGATCCGTGGCGACCGCGGTATGTACGCCAGTGCATGCAGATACACATACACTTAAAGGACGACTACAGACACCCAGATCACATCAGCTCAATTAAGTGGTCTGGGTGCCAGGACCCTCTAGTTTTAACCCTGCAGCTAAAAACATAGCAGTTTCAGAGAAACTGCTATGTTTCACTGAGGGTTAATCCAGCCTCTAGTGGCTGTCTCATTGACAGCCGCTAGAGGAGCTTCCGCGATTCTCACTGTGAAAATCACAGTGAGAAGACGCTGAACGTCCATAGGAAAGCATTGAGTAACGCTTTCCTATGGGCGGTTTGAATGCGCTCGTGGCTCTTGCCAGGCATGCGCATTCGGAGCTGAGAGGCGGATCGGGGCGGAGAGATACCCAGCGCCAAGGCAGTCCGGCGCTGGAGAAAGGTAAGTGCTTAAGACACACACACTTTCACGAACAGACGCATACACACTAGCTAACAGACACACACACTCTCACGAACAGACGCATACACACTAGCTAACAGACACACACATTTACTGACAGACTGAGTGTGTACTCAGTGACAGACATACATACACACTCACTGACAGACAGATAGACACATACACACAAAACACACTCACTAACAGATGCACACAAACTAACACACTCAGTAACAGACACACACAGTAACACACTCACTGACACACTCTAACACTAACACACACAAACTCTATTCCCTGTGGTCTAGTGGTATCACCGGGCGGGCGGGCAGGCAGGCAGGCGCGCGAGGGAGCACTCTCTCCTGAGTGCTTCCTCTTCAGCTCCCTCGCGCACCGCACTGATACTGGAGCTGGAAGATGACATCATCTTCCGGCGCCGGCATCCCTACGCGCCCGACAGCCTGCCTGCCCGCCGGTGATTCCAGGGCCAACCTCGGAGGGCCTTGAGGTGGCCAGCTCCTGGGCCCCCCAGGAGAAGAGGCTGGTCACAGTGGGTACATACCGGGTCGCAGTTCTAGCCACTGGACAGGGGAGGTGTGGCTAGAACTGCATGGACAGAAACAAGTCTTTTAATGCCTAAATGACACAAACTGTGTTATTGACGTCATTGTGCTATGAGAGGTCAAAATCAGGAGTGCTTTAGCTTTGCAGCAGCATGTCTTACAGGTGGACTTTATCCCACTTATGACGTTAGCCATATTTGAGTTGAATCTCTTCGGTTTTTAATGTGAACATATGTATGTTTTGTAAATAAAGGTTTTTTTTCTTACATGCAGTTTATTAGACTGGGGGATTAATGCAGCAGGAGGTTACTCAAGCAGAGGCTATATATAACAGAGCAGGGATTAACTGCTCAAAGCAAAGTTTGCATCCAACATTGGCAGGGCTATAAGTGATAATTCAAAGTGAATTCAAAGTAAAATTTCGTATTTAAGGGGTAAATACTGAAAGAATTCTCGAAGTCTGCTCTGCTTTCAGTTCAGCAACTCATGCCTTAAAGCTGTAATTTACATTGAATTCTTAGGTAAGTAAATAATCTTGTTGATTGTGAATATGAAATTTAAAGCAGCAAAGAGCATTATAGTGTTTGCTTTTCTCTTTCACATGTTGGATAATGCAGGTTGTTCACAATAAAGGATGATTATGGGGAGTAATTATATCTTGGAGTTTAGTGTGGAGAGTCACACTATATGTGTTTTCTACATAGTATCTAGTTTGCAATTTAATAAGTGATCCACTTTGATCTTTTTCCTCATTATTCCAGTGATCATTAAATTATGTCTTCTTACCAAAATACCTGGGTTGTAAAGCAGATTACCCAACATATAATAAATAAATATATAATTTAATTCTAAGTGTATTTTGATATTTATATAATAAATATATTATTATGCATTTATTTATTTATATTTACATAATTATGTGATTTTATTTATTATATATTGAGGCACCTGCATGACAGCCCAGGCAGAAAGTCCAGAGAATCTAATGTGCAAGCCCTATTTTTGACCCTGTTACCCATTTTGAACACCCTACTTATGTAAATGATATGCCACCATGGGGGTAATTCTCATTCCTGGGTTGCCATACGTTCTGAAAGGCACATAGGTCCAACAAACCAATCTGGCAGTGGCACATTACAATGTGGAAAACCTGAAAAGGGGAAAGCACTATATTTGACCCTGTAACTTTCCAAAACACCATATAACCTGTACATGGGACCTGTACATGAGGGGCACTGTTGTACCCGTGAGACATCGCTGAATACAATGATGTGTATTCAGGGCCGGCCTTAGGGGTGTGCGAGCTGTGCGGCCGCACAGGGCGCCATGGCAGCAGGGGGCGCCCTATGGCTGACAGCTTGCACACCCCCTGCCCTCTACCAGGGCTTAGCAGCGAAAGAGACTGTAGGAGGCGGAGCCAAGCAGCCGATGGGGGCGGAGCCAAGTGGTCGGCGGGGGCGGAGCTAACTGAGGCCTGAATCTGCTGCCTGGTAAGTGAGACCATAGTGCCCCTGCTCCCCCTATAGTACCCCTGTTCCCCATCTATCCCTATAGTGCCCCCCTCTTCCCCTATAGTAATCCTGTTCCCCATCTATCTCTATAGTGCCCCCCCCACCCCTATAGTAACCCTGTTCCCCATCTATCCCTATAGAGCCCCCCTCTTCCCCTATAGTGCCCCCTCTTCCCTATCGTAACCCTGTTCCCCATCTATCCCTATAGTGCCCCCCTCTTCCCCTATAGTAATCCCTGTTCCCCATCTATCTATCCTATAGTGCCCCCCTCTTCCCCTATAGTACCCCTGTTCCCCATCTATCCCTATAGTGCCCCCCTCTTCCCCTATAGTAATCCTGTTCCCCATCTATCTCTATAGTGCCCCCCTCTTCCCCTATAGTAATCCTGTTCCCCATCTATCTCTATAGTGCCCCCCTCTACCCCTATAGTAACCCTGTTCCCCATCTATCCCTATAGTGCCCCCCTCTTCCCCTATAGTGCACCCTCTACCCCTATAGTACCCCTGTTCCCCATCTATCCCTATGGGCCCCCCCCTCTTCCCTATAGTGCACCCTCTGCCTACAGTAACCCTGTTCTCCCATCTATCCCTATAGTGCCCCTCTTCCCTATAGTGCCCTTTGCCCTATGGTAGCCACATTTTACATCTATCCTATAGTGCCCCCTCTACTCCTATAGTAACCCTGTTCCCCATCTATCCCTGTAGTGCCCCCTATCCCTATAGGGCCCCCCTCTACCCCTATAGTAACCCTGTTCCCCCTCTACCCCTAAAGTGACCCCCTCTACCCCTATAGTACCCCTGTTCCCTATAGTGCCCCCTCTACCCCTATAGTACCCCTGTTCCCCATATATACCTATAGTGCCCCCTCTACCCCTATAGTGCCCCCATCTACACCTATAGTGCCCCTGCTCCCCTTATAGTACCCCTGTTCCCCATCTATCCCTATAGTGCCCCCATCTACACCTATAGTGCCCCTGCTCCCCTTATAGTACCCCTGTTCCGATCTATCCCTACAGTGCCCCTGCTCCCACTATAGTACCCCTGTTCCCCATCTATCCCTATAGTGCCCCCATCTACACCTATAGTACCCCTGTTCCCATCTATCCCTACAGTGCCCCTGCTCCCACTATAGTACCCCTGTTCCCCCTCTACCCCTATAGTGCCCCTGCTCCCCCTATAGTACACCTGTTCCCCATCTATCCCTATAGTGCCCCCCTCTACCCCTATAGTGCCCCCTCTACCCCTATAGTGCCCCTCCTCCTATAGTGCCCCCTCTACTCCTATAGTACCCATGTTCCCCATCTATCTCTATAGTTCCCCCTATCTACCTCTATAGTGCCCCTGCTCCTCGATCTACCACTATAGCACCCCTGCTCCCCATCTACCCCTATAGTGCTTCCCCATTTACCCCTATAGTGTACCTGATCCCTCCATCTACCCCTATAGTGCCCATGCTCCTTATCCATCCCTATTGTGCCCATGCTCCCCCTATATTGCCATTGTTCCCTGTCTACCCTAGTGACACTGCTCCCCTTATCTACTGCTATAGTGCATTGCACCCACATCTACCCCAGTGCCCCTGCTCCCCCTATCTACTGCTATAGTGAACAAAAATCACACACGGTCAATACACACACATATCAGACACAGTCAATACACCCATTACAAATATGGCACACAGAGAACACATCACACAATCACGTCTGACACACACATGATAAATGTAGCTGTCTTCCGAGTTCCGGCCAATCAGAACGTTGCCGCGGATTACCACAGGAAAGCTCTGATCACCAGAGATCAGCATGCCCTCCCTCCATGCAAGGTAATGACAGGGAAGAGGTGATAAATATTTGTTAATTGTTAAATTTTCATTTAATAAATCCCCTATACATGGATGGATGGGGGCTGTTAAGATTTTTCGCACAGGGCGGCTGAAGGCCTAAGGCCGGCCCTGTGTGTATTGTATTGCGGTAACAGCTAACACTATTATGACATTCACAGTTAAAACGCCATGCAGTACTTGGAAAATATAATTTCTTAATTTCTCACACTATTTTATTCATATTAAATTGTTTCATATCTTAATGTTTTATGTTAAATTAAAGCTCTGTTTCTCTTGAACAAAATTATATGTGTGGGTGCACTTAATATGAAAGAGGTGAATTGTGGTTGAGCATACAGTTTGTTCAGTAGCCTCCGTCCTTTAAGGGGTTAATGGCTATTGAGGCCTTTGTCCTGTGTATAGTTAACCCCTTATTACCAGCTGTAAATGCAGGTTAGCTCCATGTATTAGCTGGAGCCCAGCAGCCAGTAACTGCAGGAATGCCCCAGTGTCCATCACCTGCGTGACGTCACCAACCCACGCCCACCGGCTCCTCCTGCTCTGCCCGCTGCCATGCAGTCACAGCGAGGCGGAGAGACCGCTGACAGCATGATGGGAGGGGGCGGGGCTATGACGCCAGCAGGCGAGGCTCCTCCCCCTCCACTCTGGAACGGAGCTCCCGAAGGTCCACAAACAGACGGGTTGCCGGTGGTGAGAGACTACGGCCGGCGCTGGTAGGAGGCTGAGCCCGACACGTCCAACGGGGAGCACAGCGCCGAGTTCATTCATCCATCCATCCCGCTGGTCCCGCACAGCCCCAGCCGGAGCGGCCGCTTCCTTCCCCATCACTGTGTAAGGGGTGAGAGGTCACGGGGGAGCAGGAGGGGGGGGGGTGGATATTGATGTATGTCTCCGGGCTGGGAGTACTTAGTGTAGCTAGGCAGGTAGGTTGGTTGGCTGGCTGTATTTCTGATTCAGATTCTGCCTGCTAGACCGTTCGAGCAGCGCCAGGCCTTCATGCTGACGTTAGACTACAATTCCCGGTATCATGAGAGCTGGGGATGATGGGGATTATAGTCTAACAAAAACACAATGGACAGAAGGGTTCCTTGTTTTAGGCTGGAGTTATGGGGTTGCTGTTCCAGATTAATTTACCCCAGGCTTTAGCAATGTGATCAGAATCTGAAATGAAAGAGTGGCTGTGAATGGAGAGTGTCTGCTGTGTCTCTAGGAGGAAGAAATGTGATAACTAACAATTAAGGAGCAAAAAGTGTTTAAAATAAGCCCAAACACACCATTGGTTTCCATGGTGATTACTTCACTTTCAGCACTTTAATCCTGAATTACATTTTTAGACCTATATCCAAGTGTGTGTGCATTGCAATTGTGTGTTTGTATGATTTAATTTATTTCTCTTTTAAAAAAAAAAAGGTTTATTTGGTGGGCAGTGTGCCCTCATATTAAAGTTAGCAGTGCTACCTGTTTGCCATGTGTTAGTCACACAGTACAAAGCCTCATGCCCCTAGAGTCAGGAGAGACACTTAGGGAAGCAAGTCACTGGCATTGTTTTAGAATTGCACAAGGGTAATTTAGATCCGCTATAGTACTTCCCATTTATTGTGCTGTTATTAGTCATCACTCATTATAGTCTGTGCATGTGATCAGAGTTAAGTATCTGTACTGCAGACTGCTACTGCCTGCCAGGTATGAAATTATTGCATTTTAATTATACTTGAATGAGCACAGAATGTTTGTTTGTAAACTTTAACATTTTTTGAATGCTATGAAATAATTCAATTTCTCCTGCTGAAATTTGAAATGCTTCATATAATTATAGTGTTGTTCAGATTTTCTCTAATCTGCCAAATCCTACAGATTATAAATGCCAGCTAGTCTCCCAGCCACCTAGTACATTGGTGTATAGTGGTATTCTCCTGGGTTTAGTCTACAAAATCTTGGCAGTTATAACTATATCATGTGCCTTTGAAGGAGGGAGGATTATAAGATCTGTTTTGCTCATGTGTTTTTGACACTGCATCTGTGTTAAAACCTATTTGACTGCCAAATATGACATTCTACCTTGTTATTATTATTTCTGCGTGTGTGACTGTGCATTAACCACAGTATATTTTAGGCAGCAAAATACTTTATTGGAATTCAATTTGCATTGCATTTTGTGTCAGTTAGTGACTATATTTCCAAGGTATTCAAACTGCGAAGACATGTTTAGGCTATTATCAAGTATATGTATGGGTTATTGTAACCCACCTTTACATTTCTCATATAAAATATATTGAATAAATAATAACTTGGAAGTACCTGCATTGGCTTTCAGTCTTTAAAGACTTGATTTTGCTGCTTGCATTGAGCTATACCCAGACAGGATGTAGTCTCTGTGACACTGTCCTCTCGTGGTTCTCCTCCTATCTCTCCCAACGTCTGTTCAGTGTCTCCTTTTGCAAAGACACCTCCTCCTCTCGCCCTGTCTTGGTTGGAGTCCCCCAAGGATCTCTTCTCTCTTTCTGGCAAACTCATTAATTCCGCTACCGTCTGTATGCCGACGACACCCAGATATCTCTCCCCCGCGGTCCTGCAATGTGTCACTGCTTGCCTTTCTTCAATCTCTGATTGGATGTCCTCCCACTTTCTCAATCTCTCTAAAACTGAGCTTCTATTTTTTTTTTTCTTTCCTGCAAGTTGATGGTACTTGCATCAGTCCGTTTTTGCAAGCTCGTTGTCTTGGTGTTATCTTTGATCCTGGCCTCACTTTTGCCCCTCGCATATCCAGTATGTTGCTAAAACCTGTGGATTCCACCTTAAAAACATCGCCCGCCTCTGACCCTTTCTCACCCAGGCTGCTTCCAAGGAGCTTGTTCACGCCCTGGTAATCTCTCGCATGGATTACTGTAATTCTCTCTTAGTTGGTCTCCCCAAAAGCTGAACTGCCCCGCTACAATCGGTATTGAATGCTGCTGCCAGACTGATTTTTCTCACCCGTGGCCCCTCTGTCAATTCTTACACTGGCTCCCTGTATCCTATAGGTGTCAATTTAAAACGAGTTCTGTACATGCTAATGTCACTTTTCTGCACATTCCTCTGCACAGGATTGAGCGTCAGAGAGGTCCGCTAACACTCCAGTGAATGGTCAGCAGTATCAACTTCTGGCTTATGCACCTCTACAGAAGCCAGATGTCGGCACCCGGCTGGTACCCATGTTACTGGGCAAACCGTTATCTAATGTTCATTATCTTAGAAACTGAGTTGGGGTACTCCTGGCATTATAACTACTACAGCTGGATATTCTAAGCACCAAAACAACTTTAGCCTAATGAAGCTGTTTGGGTGTATCGATCATGTCTCTGCAGTTTCATTGCTCAAATATCTGACATTTAGGAGTTAGGACCACTTTTTTATTTCTGTTTATGCAGCCCTATAAACACCTTTCCTGGCTGTGACTCTCACAGCCTGCATGGAAAAAGGTTTCATTTTCAATTTAGATGTGACAGAACAAGTGTGTATTTTTTTTAGACATTTCAATCTCCTGTTCTGTTAATTTAACTTTAAGCACACAAAGGAGGCTATTAACACAGCAGTCGATAAGAAATTCTAAATTAAACAGACTGTGAATAAAGGGGGTTTAAACATTAGTTCTCAATTTACAGAAAACGTGTAGAGCCAGGAGTAGGCAACTTGTGGCACTCCAGATGTTGTGGAATACATCTCCCATGATGCTTTGGCAGTATTATGGCTGTAAGAGCATTTTTGGAAACGTAGTCCTGGTATAGGAAGACTGTGTAGGACACATGCAGAGAGGCTCTATGAACAAAGTGATTTAACTCCTAAATAACAAAAAAATTGAGCCGTAAGATTATAGACGCATGATCTATACACCAAAACCACTACATTAAGCTAAATGTGTTTTGGTGCTTATAGTATCCTTTTTAAGGAAACTGTATATTGGTGTACATTGCAGAGCTTGACAAATCCCAGGTCGCTATGGTGACTAGAAATTTTGTCCTGGCACGTGGTTATTTATCAGCGCGTTCAGTGGCTGCAGAATCTGCTCTTATGCACCCACAGCGGCCTGCTGAGGACGAATGGAATCAGGGAGGGAGCTCTAACTTTCCAGCTCTTATGCTCTACTCCTTTGCTAGCCCTGCAGTGATGCCCAGAGCCGGATATGATGTTAATCCGGACTTGGCATCACTAATCGGTCCGCGAAGGATCAAAGCAAAAAGAGCTTAAAGATTACAGCTCCTACACTGGACCCCAGGGAAAGGATGCAAAGATAGGGAGGCGGGTGGACTTAAATTGAATTAAAACAATCATTTGTGAGTGTGTCTGTTCAGGTGTTCGGCAGCCCGCCTATCCCATGGGAAAGATGTTTTTATTTCAGTTTTTCCACGCTGTGCCAGTCTTTCTGTGGCTGATCGACTCCATGACTGAGATCAATCTTGATGATCTCAGCCGAGCCAATGCTTTCTTGTAGGAAAGCACTGGGAGGCTGTTGTGCATGCGCTGCAAAATACCACACTGTGCCAATCAGCATCTCCTCCTAGAAATGCAGTGAATCACCTTTAGTCACCTCTAGTGGAGCAAAATACAAATGGGATATGGCTGCAAAATCTAAAAACCCATAAATAGGACATGGTGCAATACAATTTTAACAGGTTATAGGTCAGAGTGACTGTCATTAGAGGTGTTACTAGGCAGCAACATCAGATAATTACCTATTGCATTGGACTGTATGTATGAGATGTGTATAATAGCCCCCACCTGCTTGGAGTAGGGTAACCTAGATGGCCCCAGGGGAGCTCCTTGTTCTTCTGTAGTAAAGATGTCTGCTACAAGACAGACAACTGCAGATGTGACCTCTCCGCTTAGGAACAAAGGTGGCTCAGAAACTCCATGAGGAGGTCTGGGAATATAAATCTTGTTAAACATCATTTTATTTTTTCTGAAGACCGTGTGAGTGAAATCTGGATTGTGGCATAGCACCAGTTCCACAGTTAATACTTTATTTACCATTAAGGGATGAGTCCCATTACATGTTGTACAATTTGGAAACAACCAGGTTTCCTCAACGGGTTATTGCTTGTTTATGGATCAGGTGTTTTTCTGGATGATTTGCATGTGGCTGAACCTAGGATTTAACTGCAGACTATTCGGTGAGCCCATCAATTCTGATGGTTATTGTCAAGGATCTTAAAAATAAAAAAAAATAAAAATAAAGATTTGGTTTTGAACATATTGAACAGATAAATGCAAACACACCTGAGCTGCCAAAGGTTGCCTTCCACTGAGCTATACCTATTATGCATGACACTCGTAGCTATGACTACCTGCTACACGTGGTGTTGAATGTGGATCCGCATAACTGCACAATATCATCATTGGGGGGCTTGCGGCGTCAGAATCTTTGCTAAATGGTGAGTAAACAATTGATATGACACCAGGCACCCATAGATTCCATTCCAGGCAGCAGTGTCCCTTTTCCTGGCCATTCGCTTGTAAGGTCTTTGGTGCAAAATATGCAATCTTCTTAATGATTTGGCCATCACAAAGGTAAATGGCCACTGGATTTTCTAAAAAACAAAACAAAAACAAAAAAAACCCAGCATGCTTGATATTTGAGTTTCTTTAAAAAGTACATTATTTAAATGTGTTGATCTGTGCACTACACCATCTATGTGAGTATTTAAGCCACTACGGTTTGGTTTGTGCGATGAATTGTTTTTAATCTGTTTGAAATAAGGAAATATATTTACTGGCAACAGTATCTTTTTGATAATGGTACTAAATGTCTTAAATGTGTAAAAAATAAATAAATAAAAAAAAATAAAATAAAAAAAAATAATAATTTAACATTGTCTTTAAGGTTACCCTGTTAGTCCAGAAATGTAATGCAAAATTAAGTTTTTTGATGATTCTTTTAAAGGACCACTATCCCACTCCCGTGGCGCTGAAGGGGGGAGGAAGGGGTTAATCCCCTCCCTCTTCTGACGTCCCTGGCTGCATGCGCGGCAAGAGCCGCGCTGGCATTCAGCCAGTCCATAGAAAAGCATTCTCAATGCTTTCTCTGAAACTGCTATGTTTACCTCAGAAAGGGTTAATCATAGATGGACCTGGCACCCAGGCCACTTCATTAAGCTGAAGTGGTCTGGGTGCCTATAGTGGTCCTTTTAATACTTTTTATTTTTTTTTTATTGGACTAATACTTTTCATTAATTCCAAAAAAGGTATTACAAGAAAATACAATAACCCCTGATTTTTACAGAGCAGAATTCATATACATTTCTGTTGGCTAAGGTTATTTTATGTTACATATGAAATATTTTGCAAACTTAGCCATTTATGGAACTGCTCAGTTGGTTATATGATAAAGTAAATGGTGAGTATATTAAAATAAATGAATCAATAGTAAAGCCATTCACTAACTGTATGTTTTCTTAAAGCATGCTGAGGTCTGACCTTTCTCAGGAAATGGTTGTTTGGTTAGAAGGATGGAATGTGAAGGGAGTAAGGCAGAGGTGCTGGTACTGTCCTTGGTGAAAAAACAAAGCGTTAGAGTAGAGATTGTAGCTGTGTTAATCCAGTGATGCAGATGTAAAATTACAGATAAAGTTAGTATCTTGATATACCTTTTTTATTGAACTAATTGAATTTTGGAATTACAAGCTTTCAGGGGAACCTCCCTTTCTCGAGTCTAAAGCATTTCTGAGCAAAAAAAAAAATGACACCAAATTCAAAGTTGAGTTGTGATAACCCCATTATTACAACTCAACTTTGAATTCTATGTGTAATTTTTTCATTTCTTACCTAATGTGTTATAAACTGTTCTCAAACGGTTTAACCCCAAAAGGGTCCCTCCAACCCTGGATCTCTAGCCCCCCCAGTGAAACCCGGCTTCTAAAACTGAATGTCTCAAAGCGTAGTGTGCCGCCGGGTAGGGGCGTTGCTGGCTACAGCAGTCAGCTGCCAACGAGGGCAATGAAAAAGTGGTGCCCTTGCAGGTCTTGTGCATGGTGAATTTATTTAAGTAACAAATAATGTTACATACTACTGTTCAACATTTTGACCGCCAGGATTTTTATCAAGCTCAAAATAAACCATGTCAATGTAGTTATGTTTATAAGAATAATCAAATAATCTGCTAACCAGTAGTCTGTCGTGCAGAGATTTCCAGCACCGAAATGCAAAATTGTAACAAATTAATCATGTGAAGTGCATATGTGGTTGCGAAGGAGCATGTAAACATAATCTAAAAAAAAACCATACTGGTGCTTGCCGATGTGAAATAAAATATGTGTTGGTGCAACTGAGTGTTTTGAATAAGATCATGAAATGAAAAGTGTGAAAATGTTAAATGGGGTGTATGAATAGAGTGTCAGGAATCTTACCTGAGTTGGGAGTCTGTAGCATAGATATGTTGCTCACTCTTGCAAATAGACACAGGCCAAGGTGGTCAGGTAAGAATTCACCTGGCCTGCGAGTCTGTGCACGGGGGCTGTGCAGGATGAAGTTCCAAGTCGCAGTACAGGCAAGGATATAAACAGCAGGATAGTCAAGGGAAAGCTGATGTCAAAGGATGCCAGAGATCAGGATCAAGGAAGAGTAGCCAAAGTCAAGGGAGGTCAGAGTAAACGTTGTCAGAAGCCGGGGTCAATATGAAGTAGAATAACAAATAGACAAGAACACTGGAATGGAACACACACAACTGGATCAAAGACTTGATCCAGTTCACAGGGCGAGGCTAAGTTTAACTACCCTGCGGATATGTGATCAGGGTCAGGTGAAGCACAGCAATTGTCAAGGTCCATGTCTGGATGTCATGGTGAGAACCCTGACATAGAGTGAGTTAAGTAGTGAAAATATGTGCAACAATTAGGACTCCCCCTGCTGTTTAATGCTCGCACCTGCCACAGCAGAAGAGGTCTCTACTCTGGTCTTCCCGCACAACGACCTGTTCAATCAATCCTTTTCTCCCTTATTCACACTCCCTCTCACTAAAATATTTAATCTCTTCCTCTCCTCTGGCATATTTCCTTCACCATTCATACATACAACGGTAACCCCATTTCTAAAATAGCTAAGGTGCTGATCTATGCTATCCTATCTCTACTCGACTACTGCAATCAGCTTTTCAGTGATCTTACATGTTTCAGACTTGCCTCATTACAGTCTAAAATGGCGTTGAGGCTCCTCTTCCAGTCTGCCCACACCTCCCAAGCATTATTCATTTGTCAGTCCTTACTTTGACTTCCAATAAGATATAGGGCTTAATTTAAATTTTTGGCCTACTCTTACAAATCTCTACATGACACTGTTCCTATCTACCTTTCCTCACAAATAGACAAGTATGTCCTGTCTCACTTTTTTGTAAAGCATTACAATCAAACTGTTAATAGCTTTTCCTCCCAGTGAATGCTGTTCTAGCAACCTACATTTCTACCCTACTCTTTTGTGTCACTGTACCCCACTCCCTCTTGCATGTAAGGTCATTTGAGACAGGCCCTCAGCCCATCTGTTCCTGTGTGTCCAACTCGTCTGGTTACAAATACTTGTCTGTAAGTCCACCCATTGTACAGCGCTGCAGAATTTGACGCTTTATAAATAATAATTCAACAATATAGGACAATTTTGTACTTACCTGACATCTGTCAGGTGATACCTGGGTGCATATTTTGTATTATAATATTATATAATATACCTCTCCCCCCCACCCCACGCTGTTATGTGACAGAAGTAGGACTTGGACGTATTAACAGCATTGAATGTGGGAGTATAGAATTGCTCTATAATGTGTAATATGCATTGCACATTGCCAATCGGTGTACAATGTGTTGTAGTGTAGCTCTTTGTATATGAAGATTTGAGCTTTAGGCTGTCTAGAATCACATGAATTGCAGCCTGTTATTTGATCTGTTATTTGTGGGAACTGAGTTTTTTTTTGGACAGATCTTTCCTGAAAGACTGACAAAGAGCTTGTTGTTTTTGTTTGAATATCGAGTTTGCAGCACCAGTGGGAAATGTAAACGGTGAAATCCCACCATACGGACGCAGTGTGCGGACAAAGGCCTTTTAGTTCACTTGTTCCTGCTAAATGCCACAGCAGTGTAAAGTGGAATAAATATGAAGATGCAAACACATGCATCCTGAGAAATTTTTTTTTCAATACGGAGTTGCTTCATTGGCAATTGAAATGGGTATGTAACTGCAATGTGAGAATGTTTTTCATTACTTTGTTAGCAATTTAAAATTTCAATGCTAGAGATGTGCACAACATATCACCGTACAGTTCATTGGGCATACATCTGGAACTCTTCATTAAAGGGACACTATTTTAACTATGGGATTCGTGATACATGCCTAATCGTTGCTAGGTCTATTATGACAGATTCTCTTTTTTACATTTTTTTTTTTTTTTTTTTTAATATAAACTGTTCAGAACAGATAGGTACCTGAATGGATTCACAGCTTAACCAAGGTGGTACAGAGCTGGCATTGGGATCATGGCGATACGTACATTGCCAGTAAGATTTGTCTGATAGACAATTAGATGTACTGGTAACATCAGAGAAAGGTGAATAGAAGCTACGTTTTGTACATGAAATGCTGCTTTAAACTCCCAAGTTGTTGGGAAATGAAGCAAAAGCTGATTTGGTTAGTTGATACAATGTAATAAAAAGTGGTGATAAACACCACCTAGAGATTCCTAGATATATTTTTCACCACCATAAAATATAATTTTCTGGAAATTTAAACTCTATTTTTATACTTTTTCTTATAAATGAAATGTTAAAATACAAATCCGGTCTTCGTACAGTTATTTTTGTTTGCAAACTCTGTATTTTGCTTGCCAGTCCCAAGACAAATGTATGGTTTTAAATGCTGGTCATCTTCAATATAGCAATAATGAATCCTATTGTTTGATTTGAGATCTTGGAGAACTGGGACACTTTGGTTGTCTGTTTTTATAGTGCTTCTAGACAGGATACTGAGTCAGGGTTGAATAATGATGTGTTACAGAAAACTAATTAGAAATATCTATGAAATAATAACCTTCTTAAATTCCAAAGTCTGTTATTTAATTTAGATAATTGGCAGTGGAGTTCCTTGATTATTGCTGTAATTTTAAATATGGTGGTGTGTATATTAAGGGTCTATTTTATTTCCATCTATTAATGGACTGTGAGAAGAGGGACCATCTTTAAAGGGACACTATTGTCACCAGAACAACTACAGCTTATTGAATTTGTTCTGGTGAGTAGAATCATTACCTTCAGGCTTTCTGCTGTAAACACTGTCTTTTCAGAGAAAATGCAGTGTTTACATTGTAGCCTAGTGATAACTTCACTGGCCACTCCTCAGATAGCTGTTAGAGATCCTTCCTGGGTTATGGCTGCCTAAACTGCATCCAAACATTCAGTATCCCCTCCCTCTGCATGCAGACACTGAAGTTTCCTCATAGAGATTCATTGATTCAATTCATCTCTATGATGGGATGCTGATTAACCAGGGCTGTGTTTGAATCATGCTGGATCTGCCTCTCATTCTCAGTCAATCCTATGGGGAAGCACTGTGATTGGATCAGGCCACCACTTCTGATCATGTCAGCAGACAGCTTGTTTTTCCTGAGGCAAACCACACGCAGATCTACAGCTTCAGACTTGAATACAGTAAAATGTTGCTATATTTATGGAGGCATGAGGGGCCCTGGGGGGCTAAATGGTGGTTTTAACACTATAGGGTCAGGAATGCATGTTTGTGTTCCTGACCCTATAGTGATCCTTTAAATAGCATTATGTATAGCAGAATCTATACATAGTTAGCTGTTTTACAAATACAATGTAAAGATGCCTTTTATCCATTGTACTTCAACGAAAAGCTGCATGTACCTTTCCTAGTGCCATGTGGGTTTCCTCACAGCTGGCTCCACCCCCTAGACTGAGATCATCAAACTTAATGATCTCAGCCAATCCAGCGTTTTTCCACAGGACAGGCTATTGCGCATGGGGTTTCTAATGTTTAATTTAGGAAGTAAGCAAAAAAAAAAAATATAGTTTTCCATAGTCAGGGAAATTATCCAACAAGTTCTGTGTTTATTGCAAAATTTCCAGTATCTTGTGATGCTAGAACCTTTTCCGTTAAAGGAGCTGTAATTAAACCTCCTATGTGAATTTTCTGACTAAGCCGTATATAAGTATTATCATTCATGGTATCATCTGTTCAGTATGGAGCTAAACTATATACATTAAGCTCTGAATAAGCAAATTGTAATGTACTTAAAGGGATACTATAGTGACCGGAATTCAAAGCCATATTCCTGGCTCTCCCTGCCTCTGCCCTCCGCCACACCACCCTACCCCCTCCTGCGCGTTAAGTAAAGGTCCCTTGGTGCTTCGATGTTCCGTGATGAGCAGGCATGAATGCGCATTTGCCGCCCACACATTAGACCTCTCCATAGGAAAGTATTTTATTTATTACTGGTATTTATAAAGCGCCAACAGATTCCGCATGGCTAAATCAATGTTTTCCTATGTATTGATTCAATGCTTTCCTATGGGGAAAAATCTGATGCTGGATGCCCACATGCAGAGCGTGAGGATGTCCAGCGTCAGATAATGGACCAAAGGTCTGTTTCAATCCAGCCACTGGAGACAGACTTAGAGCTGCAATGTAAACATAAAATCGCTGGTAAGACCACACCTTGAATATGCTGTGCAATTTTGGGCACCTGTTCTAAAGAAGGATATCATGGCACTAGAAAAAGTGCAGAGACGGGCTACAAAATTGATAAAAGGAATGGAGCATTTTAGTTACGAAGAAAGGTTAAAAAATTTAAATCTCTTTAATTTGGAAAAAAGGCGCTTCAGAGGGGATATGATAACATTATATAAATATATTTGGGGCCAGTACAAACCATTATCTGGAAATCTATTCATAAACCGTGCTATGCATAGTACATGAGGTCACACATTTAGGCTGGAAGGAAGGAGATTTCATCTAAGGCAAAGAAAATGTTATTTTACAGTAAGAGCAATAAGGATATGGAATTATCTGCCTGAATAGGTGGTTTTTATCAGTCCATACAGATGTTTAAACTGCAATTGGATAAATACTTGCAAAATCATAACATACAGGGATATAATTTCTAATTAGTGGGGTAATAGCTGCTTGATCCAAGGAGACATCTGACTGCCATTTTGGGGTCAAGAAGGAATTTTTTCCTAGTTTGTTGCAAAATTGGAAGCGCTTCAGACTAGGTTTTTTTTGTTGTTGTTTTTTTGCCTTCTTTTGGATCAACAGCAAAAACATATGTGATGAAGGCTGAACTTGATGGAGGCAAGTCTCTTTTCAACTATGTAACTAAGTGCAAAAGGGACACTGTACCCAGACAGGTACTGTCAATGCGAAAACTGTGTACGAATGTTATGTCTTATCACTATCATAAATTTACAGGGACTTATCTCCACCCAGTGTTGTGTTTTTTTTGTTTTTGTTTTATCTTGCATGAACATATAACTAACAAATTACTTTGTGTACATTTATCAGATTGCAGGGACGTGGTCTTTGCACCAAAACCACCACATTAATATATAGTTGTTTTGTGCTGCGTGTTCCTTTTATAAACGGAGTATTTTGTTTAGTATTTCTATGTTAAACCTTATGGCAACTTCAACTTACTTAGCCTACCTTCTGATATGAGTGCTTACAGCACCCCACTTTCTGGCATGTCTCTTTTTTTTAATTTTTTTTTAATTTTTTTAGTTATTTATTCTTTGAATACATGCTTTACATGTAGGAGTGCTGTTCCTCCTTTATTTATTTAGTGAAACCATTTTGTAACTGTTTTGTAAAACCCTGGCACTCTTTTATAACGCCCCTTTTCAGCCTAACTCATAATGCGGAAGCTATACTTCATGTAATGTGGATGGCAGTGATGGACTGCGTGCTAACTAGCTCTTATATTCTCAGCCAATTATTAGTGTATTGGTTATGGTGCATTGTGTGCCCCTTTAACTTATGTACTCATTGAACTTCTTTATTTTGAATAGTTGTCATGGATTCTGTTCACCAAATTGTAATAAGATAAGGCCAATGTATAGTTTAGCGCTACCTTTCCTATCTTTTATCAGCACCTTGTACAACTCCAAACACACCTTAGTTGTTTGTTTGCACTTTATACGTTTCAACACAGGAGTTGAAATTTCAGGTTCACATGCTATAAATGGTACATTGAAGCGTTTATCTAAATGGAAAATAAAGCTGCATTTGCACTGAACACATCTTGTTACCAAAGTATTGTTGTTTATCTAAATTTAAATACATAACAAATGGCTGAAGGTCTATTATTTTACCCTTAACAAACGAATATGTAGAATACGATTGATCTTTAATCGGAAGAAGATGCAGTACTTACATAAGGCAAAACTAAAGCTGACAAAGGCCTGTGCATCCGATTCTGGGATTTTGAATCTATACATTATATGCAAACAAACCAATATTAATACCGCACTCAGACACATACATATATCAACAAATGAAATATTGTAGTAATGCAACATTGATTTATTGTTCAATTGATATCTTAAGAGGAATCCAGCTTACCAAAAAAGTCAAAACAAATGGTGCCCAATGAAAGCTCAATATACAGAATGGTGCACAACCAGACATTACATTTGATAATATGTACAACAGCTTATCTTGCAAAAAGTTAAATTCATATTGTGTACAAAACCTCCTACATACACCCCTCCATAATAAGTGATGATCAGTAGTTCTACAGAGTCCGGTGGATCCACCACATATGTGTAACTATATAGTTGTTAGACTCCACTCTGATTAATCAATTGGTGCATACTTGGCAGTCCGATCAGACACAAAACAAATATTAGTTCTCGTGCTTAAAAGGAAAAAAAAGAGACAAAACCAACAAACAAAAAAAACAACAAATAGGGCAAATGGGGAAAAAAAATCTCAATCAGATGGACCATGTTGTGGATGAAAAATGGTTGGATCAAACTATAACTGTGAATGTGGGTATAGGGTGCAGATCAGAGTTCAATTAAATGCTGGTAGATATAGCAGAGACCGGCGAGACTCCCTATTTTCTCAGATGAGGGTAAAAGCCTCTAGGTAGATGGTGGTATCCAGTCTCCATCTCCTTGTCTATATATTGTAAGTTTCAAATTTTTTTTTTTTTTTTAAAGAAAATTGCCATTGTCTTTGTAATTGCTTTATTTTCTTTCAATGTTATTCACCTGCTAATGTCATTAAGGTGACACCATGCAAAACAAATCATAAATACGACCTGTAATTATAAATTCCAGTGACACACTGTTCGTGCCTAGTTTTTAAGTTCCTCTTTGTTAGTCACTTAATTATTCTCTACATCATGACAAAGTATTTTTTTGCTTGTCAGAGACACACTTGTGTTTCATCTAGACCCTTTGAAAGAACAGTGCTTATGGAGTATGTTCAGGCAAAGCTCATTTGTTAGGCAAAATGTGCCAGTTTTGTCACCTTTAATATTTTGGGCAGATTCTTTTCCTGTCTCTAGTGTCAAAGTAAGCCCTCATTGCTGCGATGTGGCATAGCACAATTTTTGGAAATGACAGCTAGTTGAAACAAAATGAGCTACACTGAATCTTATAAGGAGCTCAGATTTATTTATTTATTTTTGTCTCAACTGGTCCAGATGAAAAATGTTGTGAAATGCTTATTGAAAAAAGACAAGCTATCTAAAGCAGTGGTCCGCGGACTGGCGCCGGTCCGCAATAATTTACAGTGTAGCGGTATAGTCGGGTGAAAGCTTTCGTGGACCTGCAATAAATTGCCTCAAAATATTTCCCTGGTCATATGATCATAGCACCAGGAACTGTCTCCCTCTCCCCTGCTGGCTGTGCAGGACCAGAGGGTAGATCAGAGATTTCCCTCTCCGGCCCACTAGCACTGTAATGCTGTAGCCGGCAGGGGAGGGAGAGCGAGAGAGAGCACCCGGGGTAAAGCTGGCAACGTTCCGAATCTCGCAAGAGTGATCTCTAGCAGCCCATGAGGCTGCTAGAGTTCACTCTCACCACTTGGACGGCCAGGGCTTCTCCACCAGACCACTAGGGGTTGCAGGAAATGTCCCCCCTCCTAGGCAAAGGTAAGCAGGGGAGTGGGGATATCAAAATTATTTTATTTTTTAATAAAAAATACATTCAATCCCACAGAACCACAATAATTCTCCCCCATACACACACTGATATATATATATATATATCTCTCACGCGCGCACTTCAGCTCCTAAAGGCTATAGGCCATTAATAATACCTCTGATGTATGTATCTACAGTTTAGTATTTCTTTACCATATAAAAACTTAACATTATACATTTTTGTTTCTAGAATTTTCAAAATTGAATAAAACATTTAAATTGCTTATATTAGTGTTAACATTTTTAATTATTTTCTGCTTTAAGGGTTTTTTTTTTCTTTTTATTCATTTTTTGTTTTTGTTTTTTTATTGACTATTTAGTAAATTACATCACAGTTTTTCACAGCTTACAAATATGTATTTAATATCAGGATATATAAACATAATAGTAATAATAATCCTAGGAATTTATAGTTCTCCTTTAATGAATCGTTTAAAGACCATAAGAAAAAAGTGATTTGACACCCTCTTTAAATAGCAAGTGAACAACAATATTGTTTTTTTTTTTTTTTTTTTTTTTCCAATAATTCCGTATGGAACAAGCAGTGCTAAGGAAGCTAAAAGAATCATTAACTTTAATCTGTGACTTCTACGAAAAAGTGCAAATGAACACCATGTGACGAAGTACAAGGCCATGCCCTTTACCTAAGGGAGTGTCTTTTGGGTTTTATTCATTTGTGGTCAAGGCTGTGTCTTCAGCTGAAACTATTATTGGTCCCTTGTTTGCAGATAATGCAGAGCTCAATAAGAAAGCCATTTCCTCTGTGAAAATACCACAGTGAGAAAATATAGCTGTGAGTGTATTCTGTGCTGCATAGAAGCAAGAACACTAAGGGCAGGTTTCCAGCGGAAGGAGCTGCTTCTCGTTTGTCTGTTTTTGAACGTTTACAGTGGTCTTTGTATAATGTGCAATGTTTACACTGGACAGTGATAATGACTCTGATTGTACAGAGGATTCTGAGGAAGACCTGGCCTCTTCTCCCTCCAGCCTGTTGGTAAGTAACAGTGCCTGTAGTAACAAGGGATACAGCATTTAGTCCTAAAACATCATATTGCAGAACATCCTGATAACTCTCTAAGTCTCAGCTGACAAAATAGTTAGGTTGTCAAACATCATAGCAGTTGATGTTGTTCTGCAGGTGCTGTGGATCTAACTGCCGACCAGCCCTGCTGTGATCTGCTTTGGTCCCTGTCATTGTCTTTCAAATTGTGGTCCTCTTTGGCATCACTATTAATATTTAATGCTCAGCACGTTATTACATAAGTGTTTACTTCTTATGGTTCCCTCAGTAATTTAAGCCATTGCTTGCCTGTGTTACTCGGATTACATCTCTGTACAACTTTAGGCTTATACAATTGTCACCACAGCTTGTCATTGTATATAAGCCACCTTGTTTAAGTGCAGGTACATGTAAACCAGGTACTGTGGTGTTTCTCAAGGTCCAGTTTAACGGTTTCATGCTTGGAAACCTGCTGCATCTAGCATACTTTTTTTTTTTTTTTTTCACATCACAAGCAAGTACACTTTTTCACTTTATAACATGTATGACTTCTTGTGGGCTGTAGATAATGACATTAACACATCCTTGATTTGTTGTGATACAAGTATGATGTATATTTATATGCCAGGTCACTTATTTTGTATACATTCAAATTGTTAAATGTGAAAATGAGGATGATTTTTGCCATAAAATTAATCCTTTATTGTGCTGAATGTATAACTATTCTTTTACTCCGTTAAGTGCATAGTGTTGAAAATGAAACCTAGCATTGGCTCTGGCTGTTATGTTTGAATATTATTGTAGTAACCATGTTTGTGCTTGCACGCCCTCACTTTACCTTACAGGGATGCTGTAATTTGAGTAGTTCTGGCTTGACAGGTCTGATCATACCTGACTGAAGCCTTACTCTGTTCCATCGGATGCTAATGAAGTCTGTTAGCAAAGCAAACTTATTTTACGGTTTCTAATTGTTAGAATAGGATTGCACTCATTGTGAAACTGAAAATGTGCTTCAGTTTCACACTGAGTGGCAACTGCACCTTTTCCCATCAGTTAACCGTGGTTGACTAGTTACAATCTGCTTGTGTATTAAAACTTCTAAAACAAACAAACAAAAAAAACTGGACAACAATATTGTGGAAATGATTGGAAATCACAGGAAGTATAAAAGTATTGAAAGTGATATCGTCTGTTTGTTTAAATTATTTAAAGGCACCCTTCTAGTCACCATAACAACTTCGTTGGAATTAAGAGGACACCATAGGCTCCCAGAACACTTAATCTCATTGAAGTGCTCTTGGTCCCCCTTAGTCCTGCAGGGGGGGACAAATGGCAATGTTTATATTGCAGGGTTAAGACTGCATCTAATGGCTGTCTACCAGAGACCCACTAGCAGTATTTCCTGCTGTTTAACAGTTTGATTCTGTGAAACGACGCTGGACATCCTCATAATTTGCATGAGTATGTCCAACTTGCTCAAAATCACCATAGCACACCCTATCCCAGGCTTTCTATTATAAACATCAGAGAACAGGGGCACAGCTAAATGTGTAGGGTATAAACCCTAAATGTAAGCCGGCTTCAAGAACATCATGGCACCACAATTAAAGTCGCTTAGTTGTTAAGGGAACTGCTGGGCACCAGAAGTTGGTCTATATTTTGTGTAGCTCGAATGTTCTAAATAGTTCTCAACGGCAATCACCCCAAATTTTCAAACACATTCTGTTCGAATGGTTTTATTCATTAAAGGCTGGTCTGTTTGAATCTAAGGACTAGTTTGATGCCCACATATAAGAATCAGTTGTGTATAGGTTTATGTAAATCCGTTAAAGGACATCTCAGTGGTTTTTCACCTCTGCAGTTATCAGTTTTTGCAGCAATTCAGTATTTATCCGTGTTTATTCATTAAAAGTCCATACCATAAATTATATACACACGCCTGCAATTCACACTTATGTGCTACTGCATGATATATTTGTTACATATTCTGATGCCAACTGTCAACTAAAAAGTATTACAAATATTTGTATTTTAATGTATTTAATTTTTGGGGAAAGTAACAGTAAAGTTTAATGCGTTTTTGTGCATGGGCTTTCTGTTTCCATTTAAAGGGACACCATAGTCACCAAATGAAGCAGTTTTGGTGTATAGATCATGTCCCTGCAGTCTCAGTGCTCAATTCTCTGCCATTTAGGAGTTAAAGGACCACTATAGTGCCAGGAAAACAAACTCTTTTTCCTGGCACTATAGTGCCCTGAGGGTGCCCCCACCCTTAGGGTCCCCCTCCTGCCGGGCTGAAGTTGGAGGAAGGGGGTAAACACTTACCTTTTTCCAGCGCTGGGGAGCCGCGCGCGCATTCAGCCAGTCCATAGGAAAGCATTCTCAATTCTATGGCGTCTTCTCACTGTGAAAATCAAGGTGAGAAGCGCAGAAGCGCCTCTAGCAGCTGTCAATGAGACAGACACTAGAGGCTGGATTAACCCATTTGTAAACATAGCAGTTTCTCTGTTGGTGAAAGCCGTGACGTCGTTAAGGGGTTAAGCTCCTAAATGGATTGAGCAGTGAAGCCTGAGAGGCATGATCTCCACACCAAAACTGCTTCATTAAGCTAAAGATGTTTAGGTTACTATAGTGTTCCTTTAAGCTTACTAGATAGAGTATGATTGATTTTAATGTTTTTTTGTTTGTTGCGTAGATGTAAAGATTTCAGATTTTCCCATACTTTCTAGAATGTTGTTGGATTCTCTGCAACCTTGTTGAACTGCCTGTTTTGCTGCTTTGCATGCCCTCGTTCACCTGTGTTAATGTGAAGTCACAAGACTTCAGTTGCTCTAGAATGCACTGGCTTTTAAAGTACTTGGTGGAAATATTGATCTGCTTACTGTACTAGGAGTTCCGACACCATACATAATAATAGTATTTTTGAGGGGGTTAGCTTTATTTTTCCCTTCAGATTAGAGGCAGTGCTTTACAACTGGGATTTCATCACCTGGAGGGGAAAAAACAGGCAGGCAATCTCCCAAACTTTTCAAGAACCTCCCCAATTAACCTTTGGCCTTATAAATTGCTTCCTACCCAAGACATCCCCAGTTCTTTGCCTGCCTGCAGAGGAGGGTGTCAGGTTCAGGTTTTCTCCCTAGAAAAATGGTGAGAGGGCCTAGGCTCTGGAGGCTCTACTTTTTTTTTAAATAAATTCTTTATTTTTGCAGTGCAAAGAAAAAACATAACAGCAGGCGTGAGGTGCCTCAATAGCATTCCTCATGCTGATTATCAACATTTTAAACAATGGGGTTATCATAAATCCGTGCACATTTTTCAGTTATTTATGTCTAGATTGTCCATGTTTAAACATTTCGCTGGGTATACAATTAAAATGTGGTCCTAGTTTAGCTGACCAGGGCTAACGAAACCTTGGCGGCACAGTGCGTTATATATCTTTTATAGAGCATTTCATCTACTCACTGGCTTATCTAGCTGATCTAGGACACATGAATAAATGTAACATTGCTAACTACAGTATAAAACATTTAAAGATCCCGCTACCCTGACTAGGCCCAGGAAAAGCATTGAAAAGTAATAAACAACTGGCTAAGCATAGCATGTTTTAGCTAATATATATGTGATAAACATGCTGTAACGTTTAGTTGCATGTTTGAGTAATACAACATAAGTGTTAATAATGCCAGCGAGAAATTAAAATAACACAGTGTAGCCTTGAGTTTCAGTTGAGCAAGTAGTCTGAGTCTATGGTCAAAATGTTAGCCAATTCCACAGTCCCGGCTCAGCAAGACACCAGCACCGCTGATAGGTAAGGGGGATTGTTAACACACCCATAACTGTAAGGTACATTTGTCAAGGTAATACATTATACTAGTTAAACAGGCTAGTGCGGATAGATTAGTTAGCATAAGGTACATAGACTGCTATCCAAGACATGCTATACTCTTGTGTCTGAATCGTTGATTACAATCCCATGACCTCTCGTGCAACTATACAGGCCAGTGACTTCAGACTGAAAATTGCTAGGGAGATGTGCATTAAGAACGTTATACCACTGGGTTATGGGCCTAGGCATAGGAAACTGCGCACCTGATTAAGTCAAAATTATAAGCAACTAAATAGACAAAGCTTATCTAGTACTTCCTCATAGAGTAACATGTTAATTAGCATAGGCTATACTTATGTGAGTAACTAAGGAAACACACAATTATTAAAACTTTGCTAAGTTTTATGCGATGAGGCTTAGGCCTGATGTGACATTTGCAAATCTAACACCAGTTTTGGTAGAGGTTATAACACTTGCAATGATTAGTAGGAGTCCAGGGTGATGGGCACTGCAGTCGTCTGCTTGAGCAATCAGCCCACGCCACAGGGTGGGATGGCTGTGCAAGACACGAGAGCAACATTTATATATGAAAAAACATGAACTTGAGAACATGGCATGCTCATTTGTGTTGAGAATAGATCATTTCCCTGGAGTTAACTAAAATTGTATAACATATGAAATAACAGGCTAGGTATCTATCCGCAGGCTATTAGTAGGTTTAGCCCCTGGAGCGCCTCTGGTTATATTAAATGCTTGAGCTTGCCGGTCGGTGGAAAAACCTTTTTTTTTTTTTTTTTTTTCTTCTCACATATGTCCACTTGAACAAGGAAGTGCTCAGTTTTGATTACTATGGGTGTGTTCTTAATTAGTTCATAAACATGCAGGTTTTTCTTGAAATTAGTTTTGTTTTTAATTGGGACTACTGGAACATTCAAGCAAGTTAAAGTGCTGTAGGGATCTGCAGTGTTCATTTAAAGCAATATAACGTAGAGGGACATTCTGAGAAATACAGTTTAATGTAGTAATTCTAAAGCAAAAAGTTTTCATTGCAGTTTCAGCAATGCAAAGTCTGCCTTTTTGAAAAGACTCCATGTTCCTAAGGCTTCCTTATGGCCACAGCCAGCCAATTGAGACACTCGCTGGTGCCAGTACATCTCTGTGCTGAAATGCTGATGGTTTATTGTGGATCGCTGCAGTGACCAAATTTCATACAGAAAACAATAGTTACAGCACACTCAGACTTCTAAAAATATATAACTAAGAAGGCTACTATAAAACGCCTATCTAAGAGAATAAATATGGGGATTTAGTTCCACCATATGGCCACTTCAATGCCAGACAGGGTCCAAGGTGAATTATTAGGCCTATATTCCCATTTTCCATTGCTTGTGGTATCAGGTGTATGACCCCTTACAATGGCTTATCTTCTCTCTCTGCATTGGCCTTGGTTACAAGCGATATCTATAGCAGCACTGCCATAAATTCCAACTTTGTGACGTTCATAGAAGTACAGTTTTGGATTGAATGGGTCAGAGAGGGCATAATTCAGTTCTGCATTAATAGAGAGCATGCTTTTTGTATTACCAAATTTTTTGGTGGTGGCCCTGCCTTTTTATGGCATTTGTCTATTGTAAAGTACAATTGAAAATAATCTTCAAAGGGATGCTCTGGATTGAATATTATCTGTTGCTTACCTGGTGACAAATCTAGTTTTGCTTTGTTTTTGTGGATTATGGTTTGCAATGAGTAAATAGTAGTTGTGCTGTGGGTCTAATTATAGGGTCATACTTTTCTATTCTTACTGTGTGCTCTATAAAAAGTCACACAGCAGGAGGACATGACTTCTGTCTATTTTAAGTGGCAACTTCACTCTACTGTACTAGATCATATGATGCAGTACTTGCAGTAAAGCCAGACTTCTATTCAAAATAACAAATCTGCAGGCGTAATTTAACAAGCTGTTTAGAGGGATAACTATAGACCTACTGTAGAGAACTGTCAAGGTAATTACACGATTTGGGCTATTTGTGCCTAACCTTTTTAGTTCTCCGTATAGTTAACTCAAGTTTTGAGCAGTGGATTTCATTTAAATCAAGTCAATTTAAGTCAGTCCGTATAACTTGATTTAAATCCTGATTATTTTTTTATTTTTTTTTAATCTTTTAAATGTAAATACCCCTTTGTCTGATTGCAAATATTAAAAAACCAGCAAACATGTCATATTTAGAATAATACCTTTTCATATTAGTTTAATGGTAAGATCAGAACTGATTTTGTTACATACTATTTGAAATACATAGACAATGATGACATTATTGCAAGGTGAACTATCTCCAAGCAGTCACATGTCCACTTATCTCATTACCTTTTTTGTAGCAGGCAGAAGCTCTTGGTATAAAGTCTGGGAAATAGAAAAGGTGTATGTAGCTAGTGTAGAAGGGAACATGCTACAGTGTTAGAGAGACCAAAGTCAGCATTATCTAAACTAATTTCATTGTCAGTCCATACAAGTTTTGTTCCTCTACATCCCTCTTACGTTTCCATAATCAAGCAAGAGTATGCAAAAAGTAGTTAGGGTTGCCACCTTTCTTGGGAAAAAAAATACAGCCTTTACTTATTTGCATAATAACATTTGTATGCATGACATCACATGATGTAAATCACAAGGAGTGACATAAGAGCTAATTCTTTAAAATCACCAAAAAACTACTTAGTTTGATTCTACTGTATATATGGATTGCTCAGTGTCCTCATGTCTCCCAGTCCTCTAATCTCCCAGTGTCCCCGTGTCTTCCAGTATCCCCTAGTCTCCCAGTCCTTTTATGTGCCCTAGTGTTGAGTGTCCCCTGTGTATCAGTGTCTCAAAGTCACCCAGTGTTCCCATGTGTGTCTGCGTCCCCGTGTCTTCGAGTGTCCTCTAGTGTCTGTGTCCCCATGTCTTTCAGTGTCCCTGTGAGACATGGGGACACTGTGAGACATTAGGGTAGGGGTAGGTAACTTTCAGCACTCCAGATGTTGTGGACTTAGTCCCCAATAATGCTCTTACACCCATAATGCTGGCAAAGCCTCATGGGAGGTGAGTCCAAAACATCTGAAGTGCCGAAGATTGCCTATGTACTGCACTAGGGGACACTGTGAGACCTGGGGACACAGACACTGGGGGAGAGGTGGAAACTGTGTGACTTTAAGACACTGTGATACATATGGGAAACTGAACCATAGGGGACAATGGAGATTTGATAAAGACCTGGGTACAGGTCGAAACCTTGCGGTGTCCAATAAATCTGCTTAAATCTATGACAGTGAGTGCCTGAGATTTTTTATTTTATAGTAGGGGACACTGACACACTGGGAGACTAGGAAACCCTGAAACACTAGGGACACTGACCAGGTCTCAAAGTCTCTGTGTCTCCGTATCCCCTATTGTTTGTGTCCCCATGTCACTAAGACACTGAGGACTCTGGGAGACATGGAGACACTGACACTGGCTACACTGGCTGGGAGACATGGGGACACTGAGCGATTAGAGCTACTGGGAGACATGGGGGCACTGTGTACCTAGTGTCTCTGTGTCCCTAGTCTGTGTCCCCAGGTCTCCCAGTTTCCCCTAGTGTCTCTGTGTCCCCAGGTCTCCCAGTTTCCCCTAGTGTGTCTGTGTCCCCAGGTCTCCCAGTTTCCCCTAGTGTGTCTGTGTCCCCAGGTCTCCCAGTTTCCCCTAGTGTCTCTGTGTCCCCAGGTCTCACAGTGTCCTCTTGTGTCTGTTGTCCCTCATGTCTCCCTGCAGCCTTTCCCCCCAGCTCTCACTCACCTGAGCGAAAGGCTGTCTCTGCAGGCTGGGAGCTGCTGTCTGGACTCTCTGTGCAGAGCTGCTCCCCCGTGGATCAGTGAGTAGAAAGCGGCAGGGAGGGAGATGTAACTTCCTATCCCTGCCTCTCTCCACACACACAGCGCCACCTACATGCCTCTAATCTCCGTTTATACTAAGACTGACATTTGTATTGCCGGTATTACTGCAATACCGGCACCGGCTAGGCAGCCTCAAATACCAGCCAAGAGTAGTTTGTAAAAAATTTATTTAAAAATGTAAAATTCTGATTCTTGCTTTCAAATCTCTACATAATACTGCTCCCACCTATTTATCCTCCGTAATACACAAATATGTCCCGTCTATTTATCCTCCCACCTCTGCCCGTACTCCCACCTCTGCCCGTACTCCCACCTCTGCCCGTACTCCCGACTTCTCGAGGGCCACACCGTTCCTGTGGAACTCACTTCCCTCCTTCGTTAGCTTACCCAGTCTCCACTCCTTCTTCAAAAAATCATTAAAAACCCACTTCTTCATTAAAGCTGATCAATTAAACAGTTAATAGCTCCCGACTGATTCCTCTCTTGCAACTGTCACTAGTCTAACACTATCCTTACCTTTTTGTGTCATTTTACCCCACTCCCTCTAGCATGTAAGCTCATTGAGCAGGGCCCTCAACCCCTCTGTTCCTGTGTGTCCAACTTGTCTGCTTACAACTACATGTTTGTTCGTCCCATTGCACAGCGCTATGGAATTTGTTGGCACTATATAAATAACATAATATTTGTGTATATATATATATATATATATATATATATATATATGTGTGTATGTATATATATATTAATGTTGATGGTATGCAGACTTTATCTGTAAACTGTCAGAATATCCTATGTAAGCAGAGGAAGCGTCTGCTTGTAGTTTGATCCTGAAGATTCATGTTCTGAGTTAGCAATTTTGACAAGTTTATCTCAGAATGCAGAAATAGGAAGGATGTGAATATCTCTTCTGTGGATACATTTGTACACAAGTCCATTCTGACTGTATAACTATTATCATGGGTGTTAACCTAACTGCCTGATGTTTACCTAAAAAATTAAATTGTTGTTTTCTCAACTTTATTACCCTTTTAAAAAAAATATTTTAAAAAAAATTGTACTTTTGTGTTTTGCGTTTGTCAGCCATTCCAGCCATGCTTTGTATTCTGGGTTCTTCAATTGGCGTTGCATATAAGACATTAAAGTAACAATCTTGGCACCAACACACTAGTGCATCTGCTTGTTGCCTCACTCATATTATCATAGTTGAGTTGTTTTGTCCTCTCAGGCCTTAATGGGACACTATAATCACCAGAACTACATTAATTTAGTTGTTCTGGTGTCTATAGCCCTTCCCTGCATGCATTATAATGTAAACACTGCCTTTTCAGAGAAAAGGCAGTGTTTATATTGGTATCTAGGAACACCACTAGTGGCGTTCACTCATATGGCTACTAGAAGTGCTTCTTGTGTCCGTTATGCACAGTGTACAGCACTGGCGTTAAGCATTTCCCCGCTCTATATGGAGGTGCTGAATGTTCCCCATAGAGATGCATTGATTCAATACATCTCTGAGGACATGCTGGTGCTATAGCCTTCCAATGCTTTCCTATGAGAAAGCATTCAATAGGCTGAGATCATCAAGATTGATGATCTTAACCATGGAGGCGGACCCGGGCGGTGTCAAACAATGCAGGTAAAATCACCTTTTCTGCTGTTAAAACAGCAGCATATAAAAGAGTGCAGTTGGTAACGATCCTTGGTGAATGTGAATAGGGTGTAAACACACTCACATGTAATGGAGCCACAAAATATAGGCTTACTTAATGTGTAGTTGTGCCTTTCCAGGTAGCACCCCACCTGTCTTCTAGCTGAAGACGTGTCACTCAGAGAAAACACAGGAATACCATCATAGGGTTATATGCCTGACAAAGTTTTATATCGAATATGGATATAATAGAAAATGGACGCTCACCTTATTTAGAGCCTATGGGTCCTTGGCTCTAAGGTTTAGCACCTATTGTCAATTTGTGGGTGACACTTCCCCAGCTGTTTATCTTGATCCTTGTTGTAATAAAGTGCTGGCGACAGCGCTACAGATATTACAATTATTATAACAATCGAAAACAAATATAAATTAATAAAAGTGCACCTAATATAAATACCTTGTGCAAAAACCGCCAAAATTTGTTTCGCTGTGATAGCTTCTTCAGTTACCTTAAAACAATTTCTAATCAGACCAAGCCAATCTCTAATGACATTTAGTTGCCTTTAACAGCAATGACCCAATAACACTGGTTGGCCCTGAATTGTTTCTAGATGCGAGCTCTGGAGCAGTCTGCCACCTTGTGGAGTTAGAATGAACAGTTTTGAAACTGGAATTTTGCAGTAGCAATGTTATTATTCCCTGCAAACTTATTACACAACGTAAAGCGAAACAAAAAGGTCTGCTTTTATTTTTCCTGTCCTGCTATAAATCACACTAAAGATTTATTTTTTTTCTTTGTTTATTATGAGATTCGGAAAGTGCATTTGTTCTGAATGATGGCTACATTTTGAATGTGTTTACATCTATATTTATGTTTCTATATGAACAGGGAATCTGCTATGTAAGATATGCACGTGTACTATGTTTGAATGGGATAATAATACGTTCCTCTTCCTTTCTAGTCACAGACCATGAATTATGTTGGGCAGCTTGCCGGGCAGGTCCTGGTTACCGTAAAGGAGCTGTACAAAGGCATCAACCAGGCCACCCTGTCCGGGTGCATTGACGTCATCATTGTACGACAACAGGATGGCACCTACCTATGCTCCCCTTTCCATGTTCGATTTGGTAAGCTTGGAGTTCTGCGCTCCAAGGAAAAAGTGGTAAGTAGTCTGGAATGCATTCTCAGTGAGTGCTTTTTCTCAAGATGGGATTTATGTATAAAGCATTTCAGATCTGCAAAATATAGAGACAAATATCTGATTAAAATTGCATGCATAATATTAGTTTAAATGGATAGTTTTATATTCATCTGTCAAGACAGCATGGTCTAAGGTCAACTTTAAGTAGTTTATGTACAGCTATACTTTAAGAATACTTTAAAGAATTCTCCTTATGACTATAGCCAGATTAAGGTAGAGTAATACGACCTTTAAAGGTACACTCCAGGCACCAAATCAACTAATCTACATTGTTATGGTGCCAGGAGTCACCCGGAGGCACTCTTACCTCAAGGGTTAAACCACAAAGTTTTCTCCAGCGTTGATATAAATTTTTCCCCTCAGGCAGCGTCAGGCTTCAGAAATTTCAGATTCAGGAAGTGCTGAGTGCCGCCGGGCAGGAGCACCGCTGGTTGACTGTGAGCAGTCAGCTGACACTCTCAGCCAATCAATGACTCCCCAGTGCTGTCTTGCAATGAAACGTTCCTTTCAGCTTTGCTTTAAGTTTGGCTACTCTCTGGCCTTAAATGTAAAAATCGCTTTTCTTTTCCACTTTAGTGAATAACCGTATGTATGTTTTTGTACATTTATCTGGCAATCTTATTCCTCTCTCATCCCCCAAACCTCAGTTCTCTGTAGTCCCCCTCTTTATTGCTAAATTCCAAAACCCTTGTTAAGTTAAGTTTCTTTCTTTTTTTTTTTTTTTCTTTGAATGTTTTTCTTTGTATTCGCAGTGTATTAAAACTTTGACCTTCGTACCCATCCCTTAGTGTGACCCATCCCCGTACCGTGTCCTCTTTTTTCCCCTTGTGTCTCCTGTCTGTATTTAATTACATTGCGTGTTAGGCCAAGCCTTGGTAAACGGAAAGTCTGCAAATTCAGACTGCTAAATTCTAGGCACTTTAAACATTGAACATTTAGTAAATTCGTTTCATAAAATTTAAAGTGCTTCTAGCACTGTGTGTGTTCACAAAGAGGGTTTTAGGAACGGTTACTGGTATATCCAAAGCATGGCATTAATTGATTTCATATGGATCCTGTATCCATTCATGGTTGAGTAGTATTCATTATGTTTTCATTTTTTGTGTTTTGTTCTTTCCCCAAATTCATAGTTTCCGTTCTGTGTTCATTCACCCACACACAATTTGTAAGTACTTTGATATTCCCAGCAGGGTAACAAGTAACCATTGTTTTCCTCCAGACTGCCTTGGTTGATACAGTTAGTGTGTTCAATATTGCAAACGAATTGGGTATTATTGCTAGAGGCATCAATCTGTTTTCATTTGAAAAAGAAAGTTTTATTTCCATTTTAAACACTTGCAGTACACAAGCCAAGTATGTGGTTTATAAAATCACAGGATTTAAAAATTGTCTGCCTTGTTTGAGTCTTGCGTTTATAGTCTCTTATGTAATGTTGCTTATCATATATATATATATGTAAGCACTTACTAACACTTCTGCCCCTATTTAGCATGAAAAAGCGCACACAAATATCAAACTTCTTGTTTTACAGATTGATATTGAAATCAATGGAGAGCCAGTTGATTTGCACATGAAACTCGGTGACAATGGAGAAGCTTTTTTTGTACAGGAAACTGATGAAGAAAATGTGAGTGGCTCTCCTTACAAATCTTCCTTATTCATCAAAGAGATTTATTTTATACAGAACTTCCAGTTACCAGCTTATAAGTGTAGGCCTATGACATGTGTATTTGGCCCAGACATTCATTGGACTTCTTAGTGATGCAAATTATACATGTATCATTGTAGTTCGCAAATCACAACTAGATGACTTTTTCTCTTTATAAAAATGAAAAATAACTAGAAAATGAGATCATACACACGCCAGGAATAGACTTTTAGTAGAACGTTTGGACAGAACCATTGCTGACCTGTAAGGAAACAATCAATAATACTCCTGCTGCTTCGCTTCAATTATTTAAATTTTTGTTGTAACCTTAAAAGACCCCGCTGGATCCTATAAACCCTTTATCTCAATGAAGTTGTTATGGAGTTTGGAAGTCCTGGGCACCATCTTATCTTATGGGGTTAAACTTTTTTTGTGAATGGTTAAAGCCTAAAGTTCTCTCCACGGCGCCCGTCCACTCTGCTTAGTCCGTCTCTGGCCCCTACAGAAGCTTTTTACTTGGGCCTCCCTTTGACAAAAAAAAGCTTTGGAATGGTACAAACTTTACGTAAGTACCTTACTTTAAGGTAAGATGGCAGCCAAGACCACCAGACCCTATGACTTCTTTGAGATTAAGTTGTGCTTGTAGTGGTCCACTCCTTTTTTTGGAAATGTAGAGGAACACCGTGCTGGTGGTTTAGCATGAAATGAGCATTATTAGGACCTAAGTATTATCTCAGTAGTGTGTCACAAGAAGCTCAGGTAAGTGAAAATATTGCATCTTGGTTTAACAAAGGGACACAGGCAAGAGGTCATCACATTGGATAAAACATGTTAGGCAGCAGGCAGGTCAGAAGAGAACCTCTAATGATCTACGCTGACTCATAACATCAAGCAGTGCCAATTTGTCTTTCTGCCTTCTGTTAGTCACTTAAAATGAAAAAAAATAGGGAATTGATGGGGAACACCCAAAACTCGCATTTCTCAGGTGTTGAGCTACTGTAATGATTACAGATTATGTTAACAGTGCACAAAATAACACATGTCCATATTGTGCTAAACCCATCACTATGTAACAGTACTCCAATATCACTGGGTCCTTTAATAATTTTACAAATGGAGGGAAAAAAATCAAGCTAACTGCAATTCTTACTGCTTTAACTGCTTCCAGAGACTCTCAGCAAATCTATGCTTTCCTGTGCTAACCACCAAAGGAGCACCTTGAGTGGGCTTTAAATGCCTGTAAGTGTAACTTCCACCAGTCCTTATTATGAAAATAGTATATATATTTTTTTATTATTCTTTATAAATGCATATTTCCTGTTCTGGATTTACATTAAACTTCTGTTTTATTTTTTTATGGGTTATTTTTCTAGGAAAAAGTCCCTGCACATTTAGCTACCTCGCCCATACCAACAGATAATCAATTTTTCATGAATGTAAGTGTTCACTTGCCAAGCTCCATTGGTGAGGAAAAGAAACATTCTGTGTCTCCAATGGCGGAAACAGAAACTGTATCTACGCCGTCTGTGAAGAAGAAAAAACGTAGGAGAAAGAAAATCAAACATGAGAAGAAGGAAGACCTCCCTGTAGTTTCAGGAGTGGAGGAGATCTTTGATATGGATATGAGCTCAGATGAAGAAAGCTTAATGCAATCTCAAAGGTATAAGCAAAGTAATGCATATTCCTATAAATAAGGACAGTTTTGCATGTAGTATACCGGTTGTTGCTGGGCCAAGTACACTTATTGAAGGTGGCTACAATTCTTCCTTCTAAAGAAATGTAGGCTTGCAGACCTTATGTAAAAATTGTATAAATAAATATACTATTTGTATGTTGAGAAAATGCATTTAAAGCATTTTTTTTCATGTGCAAAATATTTGCTTATATTTGTATACCATATATCAGCATATAAAATGGTATCATTATTTGATATTCTGCTATAATTATGTAATTTAAGTTTTTGGTAACAGTATCTCTCGGTGAGCTTTTTTTTTTATTTTTTATTTATTTTTAAATACCGAAGTTGGTTTGCATCTGTGGATACATATATATAGAATTCACAGGCATATGTTTGGGTAAGTCACTTATAAAATTATTTAAATGTACAGTGTTTATCTAAATATGCTTTGTCCCTGTTGTTTAGTTTTAAGTCTCGGTTGAGCATTAATTTGTACCAATATGTATTCGCTCAATTGTTCTGCTGGTATCAGAAAACGCTTGCAATGTTTGCGTACGTATACAATTTTTTAAGGTTATAATTCTGTTTAGAGGATGGGTTTTTAGAACTTGCAGTAATGATTTACTTATAAAGCTGTTTTGGTAAGTGCTGCTAATGAGGTGTTGCTTATACTTCACACACAGAGTTATTCATGAAGGTGAGAATTGCTGTGAATTTCAAAGTCTATTCAGTTCTGAGTTTGGCTCTTTTGGATTTAATTTTGCAATTCACTTTAAATACCCATCAATTCTCACCTTGGTGAATAACCGTGCGTGATAGTTAACTGATTTGCAATTACATGTCTGATGGTTGGACTGTGCAATATGTTCTGATCGTCCTAGATGGCGCTATCTCCTAAAGAATTGTCTAACACTACTAAGACGCACATGAAATGTGTAGACCCTTGTAAATGTGTTTAGAAAGGTCATAATTTTAGGTTAAGGAAAAGAATATTAATATAAGCGGGTGCTATTCTTGGATGTTTTAAAAAGAGCAATCACCATGGAAACCAAGTGACAGTCTTACAACATACAGCTATATAGATATATAGACACTCTGGTGCCTGCAAAGCATTCTCTGCAGCATCATGGCCATAGGAATTATGTTTGGACCTTGTGCTTCATAGCCATAATCTATACTATATGTAGGTTACAATTTTATCTTTCTTGTGCTATAATGGTACTTGGTAAGGTGGTACTTTTCACTCTTCTGTGGTAAATGTCTGAATCCATAGTAGATATCCAGTCATACAGAGCATAGAGGAGCCTCTGTTTGCACTACAGTGGCTCTTTTCCAGGGCAGTTCTATGGCGCACCGACTGGGTACCTCTGCCAGACACGCTCCCTAGCTATAGCCGGTCCACCATCTGCGCTCTAGACCCTAGCTGCTGCAGCCTGGCTGGGGTCTCTCCATCGCTTCCCACCCTGGATGGAACAGGGTCCTGGAAACAGCTTCTTGTGATTAAAGTGCTTCTGCAGAGAGTATAGCTTTACCCCACAGACATTAGCCAAGACTTAATGCTTGGAGTGAACTGGTTTAATGGGGCATTGTACACACAATTTATACACAGACCCCCATGCAGTTTAATACAGACTCTTCCCCGGCATCTGGGAGATAATTGTGTACTTAAACTAACTCTCTCCCAGGCATAGAGGTACAATGCACAAAACATTAAAAACACCCCAAAACATACACACTATTACAAGGAACCCCCACAAGTCTTATATCCCCGGTTAGCCTGGATCTGAGCGCCAAAAGTGTCCAAATAGAGCTCAAATCCCATGAATACAGCTGAATCGCCACCGGGGTAAAGATTTGACGGACTGCATACGTGGTGCCTGCCTAAAATAGTTCCAGAAGAAAAGTGGTAGCGGTCGGTCACTTCCGGGAGTCCCAAAACAAATGAATTACCAAACCGTTCCCCTGGCTCATAGGTAGCGATTATTTGCCTACTTTGTGCAAACAATCCTACCGAACAGTGCAGGAGTTGATATAGGTTCAGCGGTGTTTGCGAGTTAGTCTATCCAATTTTTAGTTCCATGCACTCGATGTCCAAACACCACTGCCTGCTTTCGTGCGAGAAGATGGCCGCCAACTCATTTCCCACGTGTTAGTTAATGTGAATAGTGGCCACCCAGCAGAACACTTGAAATTACTAGGTGCGAACAGATGATTGAGGTATAAAGAGGGGTCAACAGGGTTAACAAGCTCCAAGGTAGGCTGAGTCCAGGTAGGAAATAAAAAGGAGAAATTTGTGACTTTGTTCGGTTACCGTACCATAAGGAAGAAACTAACTGAAAGAGTCTGATCAGTAACGGGATGGTCTATTACATGGCCCATAGTCCTTGGGCAGGAGGCTAGCTAGCAGGAGCTTGTGGCATAGTCACATTTGCCACAAGAACGTGTATACAACTCTTGTAGAAAACAATGTTAAGTTATTACTGAAGGATACTGCCGACCGTCCCAGTTCTTGATGTACTGTTCTTTTCAGGGTCCTTTACCATCATCCTGGGTTCCCTGGCATCCCTTCCCACTGCGGAAGGTCTAAGCGCAAGGCGGATGCATCTTCAGGCGCATTTCTGAATGGTGTCCGTGCACCAATGCTCTGTGCATAGTTCTGTACAGAGTGGGACCGGTTTAGCAGGCTGTTTGTCAGCCTGGCATGCATTTCCATCTGATTTCTATCCCCCTTCTTCATTTACTAGAGTACTAGCAGAAACAGACAGATGGCAGACCTGCTTCTCTGTGACCGACTGAAATGGCAGAATTTGTAGAGCTTCAGATTTGATAGATACCATAAGAAATGACCAGTAACTTTGCTCATGGATTATTATTCCTTATGATTTATATTTTGCTTCACATTTGTAAAATATTTTTTTATGAGTTGATTATCAAGTAAAATGATTTGTTCCTGTACGTCCAGTTGTTTGGTTACAATTACATGTCTGTTAGTCCACCCATTGTACAGCGCTACGGAATCTGATGGCGCTGTATAAAAAAAAAAATTATAATATATGGACATGCATTGATTTTTGCCAGCTCACACCTGTCTGTAACATCTATGATCCAACCTCTTCCCCTCCAGATGTTGCTGAACTACAACTTCCATGATTTTTTAAATTAAATAGATAGCCAGGGAATCATGGGAGCTTTAGTTCAGCAACTCATTCAATTCATACGATGATGGAAGCCTTCTCCGGGCCATTGGAAGATTGCAGTTTTTTTTTTTTTAATGTAATCTGTATTATTTATTATTATTATTATTAAATAACCTATGGCTTCCTGAAGCTTTGTTAACGCATTGGGACTTTACAGGTAAAATACAAGCATGCGTGCAAGCATGCTTGTCAGTTTTAGTTAATAAATCATTCCTTTCTGATTTACAGAACCCTTGTTTGTATGCGGGTTTGTTATTCCTATAGTGCATTTAAAAGCACCCTGCTGTCTGCAGCCTCATTTGACATGTTATACAAGCACACTAGGTGTTTTGATTTTTGTCATTGCTAAAGGACTAACCGGTTTTAAATCTGCATACTCTTCTGTTTGTGCGATTGGAAGTGGTTTGGTGTTGATACTATGCATACATGTCCTCTGTGAACAGACGCTTAGAAAAATGTTTATTGAAAAATGTATCCAAACAATGTGGCTGGAGTTTCATGATTGCTAAACATTTGAATGTATGTGACTGTCAGCATGGGATCTGTTAATGTTAAAGTGATTGTTGTAATGTTGATGGTACATATTGTAACCTGGTGGAGATTTAATGTGTGCTTGTACTGTCAAAACACATCTGACAGTGCGCATTCTTAAAACAGAGAGGTTCTGGGCATCTGTGCTGCAATGACCTGTGTGTCTCCGTACAAATCTCTTCAGCTTTGCAGGGAATTAGAGATTCTGTCTGGGTTATTCACTAAAGTGATAATTCAAAGTGAATTTAAAATTTACGGTTAAAATAGCTTAAGTGGATAAAGTTAGCAATGATTTCAGCTTCTCTGGCCTTAAATTCACAGCTATTTAAAACTACTTTATTGTTAGATGTCCCCATCTTAAAGATGTATTTATTTTCTTCTTCTTCTTGCATCTCACATGTCCCATCTAATTTTAGCATCTAGGGTTCTGTAAGCAGGCCAGTGTTGAGACCTCTGCATATACAGCATTCCTTTTCTAAGATGTGTTTAAAACCCATTCCAAGGACCATCATTGCCCTTTAACCTTTTCATATATCTTATCGTGATTTCACCACCAGAATGCAATAAAATGCATGTGGATTCTGCACAAGAAGAGGTGATTATTCTTATCTGTGTTTATGGGACCTTGAAGCCACCAATAGTACATACCTACTAATTTAAAGGGACACTATAGTCACCCAGACCACCTCAGCACAATGAAGTGGTCTGGGTGCCAGATCCCCCAGGTTTTAACCCTTCAGATGTAAACATAGCAGTTTCAGATCAACTGCTATGTTTACATTGCAGGGTTAATACAGCCTCTAGTGGCTGTCTTCCTGACAGCCGCTAGAGGCGCTTCTGTGGCGCTGGATGCAAAAATCGCATTCAGCGTGCAGGAAATCCATAGGAAAGCCTTGAGAAATGCTTTACTACGGATTGTTTGAATGTGCATTCCGCTCCACTCTGGAGCTGCCGTCTGCGGGGGAGGAGAGATTTTAACCCCTTCAGCCCAGCGGGAGGGGGACCATAAGGGTGGGGGGGACCTAAGGGTTATATAGTGTCAGGAAAATAAGTTTGTTTTCCTGACACTATAGTCAGGGACGTTTTAGCCGCGAGGCAAACAAGACATTTGCCTTGGGCGGCATTTTCCAGGGGGCGGCAAAAAAGGCCGCCCCCAAATGCCCAAGGCAAATGTCTTGTTAGCCTTGCGGTTAAAACGTCCCTGACTATAGTGTCAGGAAACTGACATGCTGGGTGGCGCTGGCGAGGGAGCTCTTCCTCTGAGTGGTCTGCTCAGCTCCCAAGAGGCCGCCCGCAGAGTGAGGCTGGGAGCCGGAATATGACGTCATATTCCGGTTCCTGGCATCACTCTGCGGCGTGCGAGGGAGCTGAGCAGACCGCTCAGGGGAAGTGCTCCCTCGCCATCAGCCACCTGACCCCCAGGGAGAAAGAGAACCTGCCCCCCCCCCTGTCCCCGTCCCCCCAAGCATTCCCAAAGGTAAGGAGGCTGGGGGGGGGTTAAAATAAAAAAAAAAAGTGTTAATGTGTATGTCTGTTAGTGTATGTCGGTTAGTGTGTGTATGCCTGTTAGTGTGTGTTTGCCTGTGAGTGTGTGTGTCAGGGAGTATGTGTGTGTTTCTGTTAGCTAGTGTATGCGTATCTGTCAGTGAATGTGTGTGTTTATTTAGAAGGCGGAGGGGAAGGGTTGGGGCGGCTTTGGGGAGCGCCTGAGTTTTGTCCTGCCTAGGGCAGCACAAAACCAGGATGCACCACTGACTACAGTGATCCTTTAAACTTTTGCACAAGAAGACAATACACGATACATTTGTTTTAAATGGACACTATAGGCACCCAGACAATTTTAACTTAGAGAAACTGCAATGTTTACATTGCAGGGTTAATACATGCTCTAGTGGCTGTCTACTAGAGGCGCTTCCTGGATTCCCCCGGAGTTTAACTGTGTGAAATGACATTGGACGTCCTTACGCTTTGCATTAAAACGTCCAGCATCTTCAAAACCCCTGTAGGAAAACATTGACTTAATGCTTTCCTATGGGGAAGGTCAAATGTGCTTGTGGTGCATGTGGATTAGGTCCTCCATTGGCCTGACCTCGGGACTGGAATTAAGAATTTAAAAAAAACTGGTAGAACATTGTTTTTGCTTGGCAATTCTGCTTTTTATATATATAAAAGGTTGCCTACCCCTGGCTTACGTGAAGATAAGAAGGACCTACTATGTTTTCCTGAATGTAAATATAAATATATATATATATATTTACATTCAGGAAAACATAGTAGGTCCTTCTTATCTTCACGTAAGCCAGGGGTAGGGAACCTTTGGCACTCAAGCATCAGGGAAGATGTAGTCCAACACCTGCTTACCCCTAGCACTTGTGTTTTAACATTAATGTACCCAATATATTTTTGGCAAGAAATTAGGAATTATCTGGCAATCTAAAAGAGTGGTCACTATTGGTCTAATGACTTTGCATCATGGGTTGTTAAACATGACCCTACTAGCGGGAATGAAGGTACCTGTGTACCTAATGATGTGTCAGCAATTATTGCTGTTACTATAAAATACAAGTAGTTATTTTTCTTGTAACTTTTTTCATTTTACAAAAAATTTACTTTCTTTTTTTTTTTCCCCTCTCATTTTAAGGTCCCTATTGAGCACAACACCCAAGGAAGATGAATACAGAGAATCATTTATATGTCACACATCAGATCATTATGCTCTCTCTGATGGTGACTGGTCTCCACTGGAAAGGTAAGAACATTTAGTCTCCTCAATAAACAGAATTTTGACTTGCCACAATGATTTGGAAATTAAAAATAAATTAAATAAAACTTATATAAACATTTGTAGAGTAATATGCCTACGAACACACAAAATGAAGTTAAACTCCCACTACTCCTGGGCAGTAGAAATAACTACAGTATTCATCAACCCAAATACTTAAAACATAAACTTAAAAACAAAATGTTACCTGCACTCTATCCCAAATCCACATACATGGTTTAAATTACTGGATTAAACCTTAAACCAGGTCAATGTAGACTCTCGACAAGTCTTCTATGCAGGATCAGGAAACCTATTCAACCGAACATGAATTTTTATAGCTCCAAATGTGATCAATATTTTTAGTCCGCAATAAAAAGATAAACCCAGTGATGTTTTAACTCTGAATGGGGTCTTTGTCAATGTTTAGTTGAAAATAATTGACTTCTGCTCCTCAGTGAATTTTCCCAATCCATGGGGCCAAAGAGCGATTCGGAGTTGGAAGTGAAGCCAGCAGATAGCATGCACAGGACAGAACCCCATATGGAGTGGACGTGGGGAGGTTTCCCTGAATCCACCAAGGTGAATAACGATCTGTTTTCTTGTGTATAATGTTATGGAATTCTCATTGTAACCTATATGAAAACAAACTGCAAGACTACCACACAGTATTTTATCCAAGTCTATGAAGTGCTCACTCACATTAGTAATGTTTCTGTAATACTGTACTTTTAAAACCATTTCCTAAAAGAATCGAACATGTTTTTGTAATGTTTTAAAGATCTACAAGAAGGAAAAAATAGAGCATCCCAGAACAGCCACAATCACCCCATCTGAGAATACACATTTTAGAGTGATCAGCTCTGAGGCCTTGACTGGGGTGGATGACGAAGTTTCCATGGAAGACTCGCTTTGCACTACTGTACTAAAGCCAGAGCCTCGTCCTTGTTCTATCAACATTCAAGTAGATGGAGACCAGCCTTCTGACTCTACTCCCGAGAGCAATCTCAGCTCCCCATCAGTGCCAGATGAACAGCTGCCTACAGAGTGTATTGATACAGTATCTGAGCTGAAGCCTTTATCAAAGTCAGACTCCCCGTCCAAGAAGAAAGGTTGGTAGCACTTATATGCATCTACTTCTAAAAAAAATATTGCATTTACAAGTATCTGCTAAAATAAATTTTTCATTTTCTTTTAAATACAAACAGGTGTACGTAAAAGGAGCCAACATCAGGGACCGGGTGATATTTATTTGGATGACCTAAATGTTTTGGAACCAGACGTAGCTGCCCTCTATTTTCCCAAAAGGTACATCGCCTTTTATCTAAATTTTGTCATTCTACTTGACGTTATTTAGAGGAAAACTCCAAAATAGCAGAACGTTTTGACTTCTTAATCTGAGTCCAACAGACACCTCTCCCTACCTCTCAGAAGCCAGGAAAACTATGAGCTGCTGCTTAGGATCTTCTGTTGGCTCTCCAGAGCCAAGGCTTGCACCATCAGTATTAGACAGAGCGATTACTGTAGGCTTTAGTGAACAACTTAAATTGGCACTATAGCCACTACATCATGCTATGGGGGTGGGAGTGTTCCATAAAATCAAACTTTGAAGCAAAAAAAACAAAAACGGGGTGGATTTTTTTTTTTGTGATGAGGGTGAATTTGTTTTTGTTTTTTTTTGTACCTTGTCCTCTGCCTATTCTGCTGATTGATAGGTGCCTAAAATGTTATTTGCTAAATATTATTGTTCTCATATTTATTTGTATATTTAAGGAAAATATTGGTCAATAATTTCCCATAATCATTAAAATTTAGTGTCCTTTTATTCTTCCTGCTATGTTCACATATTAATCATAAATACAGTGCAGGTTGAAATTGGGAATAACATGGCACAAATATCTTTACATGACCCAAATCCCACAATCGTGTAACCCAAAGGTTTTTTCCCAAACACAATCTAATGCAGTTAGTAACAATCATTCTGATTTACAATATATTATTTCACCCTTCAAATCATAGATAAGGTGGTTGTTGAATAAATAACATAACCTATAGCTCAATCTAAAATTCATATATATAAATTTTTTTCCTTTTTTTTTCTTTTCTTTTATTGACTACTTCATTTTAGTTCTTGTTTTTTGTTTTTTATTTATGCTTGGGGAATGTTATTTATTATTTATATGAATCCCTGGATTATCCCCTTTATTTTTGTGTTTATGTTTGCATATTGGATATGGTTGTAGTGAACATTTGTGTCCCCTTCTAGTGAATCCGATACTGGTTCTAGGCAGTGGGTTGAGTCTGAAACCTTGTCTGGCTCACAGTCGCCTCAGTCCGTTGGCAGTGCAGCTGCTGACAGTGGTACCGAGTGCCTCTCTGATTCGGCTATGGACCTGCCTGATGTTACACTTTCTCTTTGTGGAGGCCTCAGTGAAAATGGAGAAATCTCCAAAGGTGAGTGTTAGAACTGACAATGGACAGTGCTTTCAAAGAATAGCATACTAAATTCATTGTGATTTTATTTTTTCTGCCTTTGGGGGCAGCTATTAACTGCTTGAATATCTTCAATGTTCTTCACTAAAATACATGTGCTGATTGTAAATGGAATGGAAACCTCTCCAGGGGTCTAGATTACATCATAGAATTTGGCTACTGTAGTGACCTAACCCAGCTCTGTTAGGTATGTAACAATCGGGGAACAGCTGCAGTGTCGCAGAAGTGTGACTTTGTTACAATATGTGGCTCTATTTTTACTTTTAATGAGTATTTTAGGATTCCATTACCATTGAATTAAATAATCCAGACTCATCCTTCCCTTTGCATAAAATGACAAGTCCCTTGCTTCTGCACCTTATTTTTTTGTCTATTTTCGAATATTTATTGGGGAGGGGGGGAGAAAGCCCCCCCCCCCAAAAAAAAGACTTAATTTTGATAGGTAGGAATAACAAAAGAACAAGAGACTGTTACCTGTGACAGGATGCGTTCTATTCTTTTAGGACTACCCACTAGCATAGTGTAATTTTATTATTTATTTTTCACCCACAGAAAAATTTAAGGAGCATATCATCACCTACCAACAGTTTTCTGAGAACCCTGGAATTATTGACAATCCTAACCTAGTCGTACAGATTTCCAACAGGTAAAATGTTTTTATTATATAGATATATATTTTTTAATTTGTATTATTTCATTAGCTGTGGAATTTCAGTGGTGGATATTAATGCAACATTCGTAGCTATGTTACAATCACTGCAAATTTTGTTATTTCCATTGTATCTCCCTCTTTAAATAGCTCTCTGACGCGTATGAATTTGTATTCTGTTAGTTGGCGACAGTACATGGCATATATTTAGGTGAATATACCCTTCATCTGCACACGTAATAGAATAGTCTTGTATTGTCGCTTTCACAGCTATTCTGGCCTACATTTAAGGCATTGATAATGCATGTGAAAAATCCGTTTTTATTTTATTTTTTTTATATACTTTTTTTTTTTTTTGCATTTTTAACAGAAGTTTAAAGAAATTACCAGATTAGAAAACAGAACTTACACACTATTTAAAATCTCTTTTTTTTTTCCTCTGTATTTTCTGACAATACAGGCTTCATGTGATGTTTTAATATGAATGTCTTTGAACTGTGAACGTCACAAGCATTTCTTTAACAGGTATTACAACTGGGTCTTGGCAGCACCTATGATCTTGAGCTTGCAAGTGTTTCAGAAAAACTTACCTAAGGTAAACATAGAATGTGGCGGCAAATAAGAACCATTCGGCCCATTTAGTCTGCCCAGTTTTCTAAAGACTCTCATTAGTCCCTGGCCTTATCTTGTATCTACGATAGCCTTATGCCTATCCCACGCATGCTTAAACTCCTTCACTGTATTAACCTCTACCACTTCTGCTGGAAGGCTATTCCATGCATCCACTACCCTCCATGCGTCCGATAAAGTAATACTTCCTGAAATAATTTTTAAAGCTTTGCCCCTCTAATTTAAGACTATTATCTCTTGTTGTGGTAGTTTTTCTTCTTTTAAATATAGTCTCCTCTTTAAGGTAATGCTGATACCACAAACACAAATCTGATATTGCCTCGTGTTTTTTTAATTCTATATAAATAACCACATATTATCTTGCAGAATACCATTGAATCGTGGGTTAAAGAAAAAATGCCAAAGAAATCTGGAAGATGGTGGTTCTGGCGAAAGAAGGATAGCATGGTAAAACAGGTATATGAAAGGATATATAATGATGAATAATTAAACCTGAAGTTTTCAACCTAAGGGAAGTCACCCTTTGTCTTGTGTGGAACTACAGCTGTCATAGTGGTTTGCCAGCCAGTAAACTTTAAAAGTATTATGGAGTTTTAGTTCAGCAATGTGATTGACAAATACCCCAAACTATTCTAAAATATGGATTTTCACCTTCTTTTCCTGTGTCCAACTTGTCTTGTTATGACAATTTGTTTGTTAATTCAACTGTTGTCCAGCATTGCAGAACGTGTTGACGCTTTTAAAATAATAAAAATAGTAGTGTCAATTATTTTAAAAAGTTGGCACGGTGCATGCACATATGTATTTTTTTTTTGTTGTTTGCATGTGCATTCACTTTGTTTATTCTGTATATATATTTTATGTAGACATTCTAGAGTCATTGTTTTATCAACACTTTTATGAATTTTAAACTGTTGGGCTTTTTGAGATCCACACAAAAATAGATATTTTAATTAATGTCTCCAGCTTATTAGGATATAATCACATATAACATTATATCTGATAAAATATGTGCATGGTTCTTAACTCTGTAGTTTGTTTTACTTTAAAGGACCACTCCACACGTCCAAACCCCCACCAAAAAAACCCACAGTTTAGAAGATCTACCCCAAATGAATACATGCATGCATATTTTCACGTATGTTTTCATTGCAAATATAGTTTAAAATCGCTTACAAAAGCTGCAGTTCTTATGACTGCAGCCTTTGTAAGCCCCTCTCCTTTTTTCCTTGAAGAAACGATCAGTCTCTTCACAAGGAAATGACCAGAGGCTTCCCATTGAGAAGCCTCTGACTTGGTTCGCACATGCACCAGCATGGCTATTCGTGCACAATGTTGCATGCACGTATACCAGACCGTGTGTGCACGCCAGTGCACCCAGTCACATGTGCAGGGCTGAAGCTGTCAAGCTGGTCTACAGGTGTGTGGGGGAGGCAGACAGGCACACTCAAGTAGAGCGTGCCTGCTACTTCCGTTGGCTCAGGGGAGCTAACGGAAGTAGGAAGCAATCCTCCCTGGCTGTTTGACAGCCATAGGGGAGTTCCCTAGTTAATTTATAAAAGTACTAATTTCTCGTAAAAACATCACTTTTATCAACTGGGGTTAAATGAGGCTATTCCTAACCCATAAAGCACTTCAGCAAGCTGAAATGCTTTTGGGGTGTGAAGTGGTCCTTTAATGTCCTACTTTCTTTCTTATCACAAAATGTATTTTTTTTTTTTTTTCTCTAACAGCCAGACACAAAAGAGGAGAAGCTGGATGTCGAATCAGGCATTGAACAAACATTGGAAATAAAAGATCAATCAAATATACGGTATGTTTAAGAGTGCTTGATACATTTTACATTATTATACCAGATAGCCAGTAGTGGTATACTAGTAGTAGATGTAACTCGGTTACAGTAATAGATAATAGTAGTTTGTAGCTGAGATCCATAATGAATGGGCAGTAATGGTAGAGTGAATGAGTTTGCTGTAGTGGACACATGATAAATAATATAAACAATATTTAGTTTTGGTTAGCGGACAGGCCATTAAAGGCCGACTTAACTCTGGTATTCCTTGAAGTATTCTTTAGGACTTTGTACATATTATCTTACTGGAATAGTTCTAATAAATTGATTTGGTATTTATCTAAATAGTATCAACAGTTTTACTTGATTATGGTTCTAAAAGTATTTTACACATAAAACATGTGTTAATTATATTCACTCCCGGTATTTCATCTTGGAATATGGCATATTTATAAGGAAGATGTGATTGCACCATAGGATGCACTTTATGCTTTGCAATGACCTCATATTCCTAGGCCAATCATTAGGCGTGATCATTTCCCCCTGAATTATATCCTCTAAATCTATTATCAGTTTTGCAACATATATTGTTCGTTTGGTCTTCTTCAAAATATAAAACCTACCTGATGTATAAAATAAGATTTATGTGAAAATAGAACTCCGGACCATATTATTCTATATTTTGCACTGGTTATGACCATGGTTTGTTCTGCTGACGTCTTTAAATTTTCCTTAAAATGTTGGGTAGCGAAGCTCATAGTGTAAAATCTTTGTGAATTTTCCATTGATCCTTGCCCATGAATTTCATCTTGTAAGTACTGGTCTTCTTTGCTAGTACAGTTTATTCATGTTAAGCATAATAGGCTAACATTTTGAGAGTTCTCTTTGACACCTTAAAATGATGATGTTTTTGTTACCGATGAATCTTCACTGACTGTTTTCGTTGAACTCTTGTTGCTTTGAAACTCCTATATGAAAGTGCACATTCTCAAACATCTTGCATAGATGACACATGCTACTAATTGGCAAACTGCTTTAAAACAAATTCTTTATGTAGTTTTCTTTGTATGTTTGTAATTATGACAAAGTTGAATTTGTTTTTCATGTAGTGGTTCCTTCATTATTCACTTAGAAGAATCATGAAAACATAATGAATAGGAAATTGGTGTAATGTAGATAAACGCTCCTCAACCCTTTCTCACCCAAGGCACACCATAGCTCTTCCCAGAATTGCATGGCACACCACAAGCTAAAGTATTTATATATAAAAAAAAACAATAATTTAAACAAAAATAGTAATAAAGTGCATGGACGCTGAACAGTGTCAGTTTGTCCCACAAAACATTGCACAGTCAGTTTTCCCATTAAATATATGCCAAGCCAGATACCATTAATAAATACAACAGTTAGTGTGCCCCTTAATAAATATATTAGTGCGTTTTGTCCATTAATAAATATATTGGTGCATTTTGCCCATTAATAAATACCTTGGTGTGTTTTGCCCATTGATAAATATCACAGGCAGTGTGTCCATTGATAAATATCACACTGATGTACAGAGTCACACACATTGCCTAATGCAGACATACAGTGAGGGGAAAAAAGTATTTGATCCCCTGCTTACTTTGAACGTTTACCCACTGACAAAGAAATGATCAGTCTATAATTTTAATGGTATGTATATTAAACTCATAATTCCAGAAAAATGCATGTCAAAAAAGTTATTGATTTGCATGTCAATGAGTGAAGTAAGTATTTGACCCCTTTGACTTAGTACTTGGTGGCAAAACCCTTGTTGGCAATCACAGAGGTCAGACGTTTCTTGTAGTTGGCCACCAGGTTTGCACAAATCTCAGTAGGGGTTTTGTCCCACTTCTCTTTGCAGATCCTCACCAAGTCTTTAAGGTTTCGAGGCTGACGTTTGGCAACTCTAACCTTCAGCTCCCTCCACAGATTTTCTATGGGATTATGGTCTGGAGACCGGCTAGGCCACTCCAGAACCTTAATATGCTTCTTCTTGAGCCACTCCTTTGTTGCCTTGGCTGTATGTTTTGGGTCATTGTCATGCTAGAATACCCATCCACGACCCATTTTTAATGGCATGGCTGAGGGAAGGAGGTTCTCACCAAAGATTTGACAGTCCATCGTCCTTTTGATGCAGTGTAGTTGTCCTGTCCACTTTGCAGAAAAACACCCCCAAAACATAATGTTTCCACCTCCATGTTTGACGATGGGAATGGTGTTCTTTGGGTTATAGGCAACATTCCTTCTCCTCCAGACACTGTGCATTGAGTTGATATCAAAGAGCTCAATTTTGGGCTCATCTAACCACAACACTTTCACCCAGTTCTCCTCTGACTCATACAGATGTTCATTTGCAATCTTCAGACGGGCCTGTACATGTGCTTTCTTGAGCAGTGGGACCTTGTGGGCGCTGCAGGATTTCAGTCCTTCACAGCGTAGTATGTTACCAACGATTTTCTTGGTGACTATGGTCCCAGCTGCCTTGAGATCATTAACAAGATGCTCCCGTGTAGTTCTGGGCTGATTCCTCACCGTTCTCATGATCATTGAAACTCCACGAGGTGAGATCTTGCATGGAGCACCAGACCGAGGGAGACTGACATTTATTTTGTGTTTCTTCCATTTGCGAATAATCGCACCAACAGTTGTCACATTGTCACCAAGCTGCTTGTCGATGGACTTGCAGCCTATATCAGCCTTGTGTAGGCCTACAATCTTGTTCCAGACTTCCTAGGACATCTCTGTGGAGAGTTTGGAATCAGATTGAATGCTTCTGTGGACAGGTGTCTTTTATTCAGGTAACGATGGGGAGATTAGGAGCAGTCCTTTTAAGAGAGTGCTCCTAATCTCAACTCATTACCTGGATAAAAGACACCAGGGAGCCTGAAATCTTGTTGATTGATAAGGGATCAAATACTCATTTTACTCATTGACATGCAAATCAATTTATAACTTTTTTGCCATGTGTTTTTCTGAATTTGTTGTCTGTCTTTCACTGTTAAAATACACCTACCATTACATTTATAGACTGGTCATTTCTTTGTCAGTGGGCAAACATTCAAATTCCGCAAGGGTTCAAAAACTTTTTTTCCCCTCACTATACAGTCACGATGTGTATTGGTCTGTATGTATTTGTGAATATGTGTGGCATTGTTTAACTGTGTATGTGCATGCGAGTGTGTGTCTGACAATGTCAGTGTGTGAATGTACATCTCTGTGCGCTTGTGTTTGTATGTGGGGTAGTTGCTTGCAGTGTTGTGTGTGTGTGTGTGTGTGTGTGTGTATAGGTGCCGCTTTTGTGCATTGTGTTAATGGCAAAGCCATGTTTTATGGCTATGTATGTATGGTGGTGACTGATTGGGTGGGTAAAGCGGTAACAGTGGCAAGGTGAGTGACCGGGCAAGAGGAATAAATGAGATGGGGTTTTGTGACAGGGCAAGGCATGGAAAGTGTTACAGGGTTAGGGGGGTTAATGTGACAGTGGTGTGGCATGGTTTGTGAATGAGTCGTACAGACTTGTGTTTATTGTGGCATGGTTGGAGGAGGGAGTGAGACAGGGCAATGGCTGATAAATGTGACAGGATTTGTGTGGCGTGGTTATGGGGGATGAGTGTGACATGATTTGGTGGGGTTATTGTGATATGGTGAAGGGGGTGCGAGTATGAAAGGATTGGGAGTAAGTGACAGAATTAGGGGGTGAGTGTGATACGGGAGTGTGGCATGGTTAGAGCAGGGGAGTGAGAGTGGTGGAGGGAGAAGGGGACTGACAGTATATGTGGGGGTGACAGTGTTTTGGGGATGACAATATGACCAGTCTCCACACACTCTACTTTTATTTTATTTCCTGATTGTAATGCGCTCCTTTTAATGATGTTTGTTTTAACTGAAAAGTAAACTGTCTGTTCCTCTGAGCGTTTAAATTTTTTAATTTTTTGTTTTGTTTTGTTTTCTAATTCTTTCTTGGAGAAAGCTCACATAGCAATCCTGTTTGCTAGCCAGAAGTTCTCTCATTGCCATGTTTGGAAACCTGTAACAAGCTCCATGTTAGCATCTATTTGGCTGGCAGTAATCACTAAGTAGCTCAATAACCTCACTCCATTGGGAAATGATGTGTCTTACAATAGATAAACAGTGACTTCGAATGAAAGCATTTTAATTAAGCCTGCTTTGTGTTACTGTTTGACATATTAAGTTTAAGTAACAACTTCAGCATGTCAAAAGCTATTGTATGTTTATGACCATACACGATGTAGAAATATTAAAGAAGTCCTTCTAAGAAACATCACTTAAATAAAATTTCAGTGTCCATTTTATTATATACCACAGAGCTTCGAAACTCTACAAAGGATGGAGTGCGATGTGTAGAACAGCTCTGGACTTTGCACTAGTTAGAATGTTGAATAATAGTCGGTGCATAATAGGACTTTGATCAGGGGTTTTCTGGGGGATAATTACTCTCTACAAGAAATGATTAACCTGCAAAAAACAAGTAATTCCTAAATGTAAATCAAGTCACATACCCCCTACAGATTCAATACTTTTCCGATGCGTAATATGTCACACTAGTTGCTTAGCTAGATTACCCATTAATTAGTTATTTTGCATTTTATTTTAAATTTAATTTAATGACCACGTATATTCTACCATATCATTTATGATTTCTTTTGGGAGGATTGCAGTGGTGTAACAACTTGAAGGGCAATAAATGGTGAGGATAGGTTTGTGCTTGCGGACATTGCAGAGCTAATAATAAGAATTATGTTGTCTTATGGTTATTCTGCCAAAGAAAATTATATACGTGGCCATCTCTGTTATGAGGGCAGTTACAGCAGGGAGGAAACCACACTGAATCCTAAGTATTTTTCACATCCCAATGGTATTTCTTTCCATACCACATTTAATAACAGAAAATAATTTTTTATTTTTTTTTAAATAAAAAGTGCCTCTAAATATCTTTTCTTAGGATGCTGCTTAAGTAAAAACTGCGTGAATCTCTCCTCAAACTCTTTATTTGAATTTGTGGTTTCTTATTTAATTTGCACTTTTATAACTATGCAAACAATTTTAATCACATTAAAAAAAAATAAACAAAAAAAACAGTTCTAATATAGAAAAAAATAATTTCTATATCATCACTTAAAGGACAACTGTCACAATTTTCACTTCTCATGTTTAACGTTTATTACATTTAGTAAAATGTAATCATGCTTTTTTTTTACTTTTTTTTTTTTTTTTTATCTGGTTGTGAAGCCATGTTGGGTCAGACTGTACTGTTAGCTGACCAACTGCTTGCCTGCTCCTGTGAATGCTCTGTGTGAACCTACAATAGCAGGTAAGTTAGCAGCAGGTGGTTAGATAACTGTAAACTTTGACCCAACATCGCTGCACAGTCAGATGATAAAACAAAATGGGAAAATATTTCTCAAAAAAAATCTGTGTCTTAGTTTAAAAAATATATCATTATTTAGTTAAATGTAATAAACACTTGAAAATTCACAAGTGAAAATTTTATGACAGTTGTCCTTTAAAGATAACAGATTAGATTATGTTGGATAACCAAATTAGAGTGAAATAAATTTCATAAAATTTTTTTTTTTATAAAAAAATCAATAACAAATAATTAACTACTATATGAATGTTTTTATTGATAGGTTACCTGCCAACGACAATTCAAGTGATGAGGAATCATTGGAATTGGAGCAAATAAAAAATGAATCTGTTCCAGTAGAATATCAAAGCCATGGATATAACACATCATACCGCAAAACACTGCGACTCTCTTCGGACAAAATAGTATGTTCTGACTTTTGTTTTGTTTTTTTGCTTTACCACCCCTTTCTCACATTACACCGAATTAAAGGAACACACTCCAAGCACTGTAACCACTACAGAGCGCTCTAGTTGTTATGATTCCAGGATTGCACTCAAACTCCGTTATTAGTCAAACCATGTGGAAATGTTTGACAAGTTACCTGGCGTCTGTCAGTCACAGCTTCCAGGAAAGCAGAAGCTTTTGTTTGTTACCCTCAGCTAAACCTTGCAGTGCGTGGGACAGCACATTGGTACTTGGTTTTAATTACAAATTATAAACTATATAAAGAAAAAAATACAACATGCTGTAGTATCTGAGGAAAGGCAGAAAATATCAATACATCAACTTGATCCATTTCAATCCCAAATATGCCATTGTAATAAACAAAAATATTTTTTGCTGATTTAAATGAAGTAGCCTTGGTCATACATAATCATTGGATAATGGCTATAGTTTGACATCTGGTAGTCCCACTGGGCCAGCCACTGAGGACATATTGTACCTTGAATATTAATGTTTCCTAGCCTCACTACTGCTAGTTGGGGGATTGGAATTCAGCTACTCCATTTGGTTGTGTGTAGCCATATTTTCTCCATCTAAAAGATTGCATATAGCATGCAGGCCGACTGGTCAGCATCTTTCAGATACCTTCTATTATCTCTCTTTGGGAGCAGAAAGGGAAACTGGCAAAGTGGAGAAAATATTTTGCTGGCTCCTACTTGCGACGGCCTGATTATCAATGGTGCCAAGCTTAAATCACCAATACATGTCTTGTTCCTTCCAGACTGCAAAATACAAAATAAAAAAAGTTTCTATCTTTTATGAGACATAATATTTATGACATGAGAGAGGGAAAAATGTGCTTTGTATGTTAAACACATTTTGGAAAAAAAGGAGTTAGCTGGATGTATCAATGCTAATCTGTAACATGTGTACATGTGTACCTGTCAGTTTTCAACTGTCTTATCATCAGTATGCAGTTTCTCATAAGCACGTTCTGGAACTTCAGATCACCTGTCCTGCGTTTAAAGAGCTGCTACACACAAGCTCTGAAAATGTACTTTCTCTTCTTCGAATTAAAGTTATACATTGAACATTTTAAGCTGATAAATACATTAATAGCAGATTTGGATGAATTTCCATGTCTATAAGAATCCAACTATAATTGTAATGTGTGGCAATGGAAAATCCAACACTGTGGTATTTTGAATAGTATTCCCTATTGTATGTGCACATTTCCTTTTTAATAAACTACTGGACATCCATGGGACCAGGTTAGGATTAGCACCAGTTCTATGAGAATCTATTCTGTCTATTCACAGGATTCTAGATTTAACAAAATTTGCGTTCACTGCCTCTTTAGAACTATCAAGAACACAATATTCTCACGTGTCCAGATGGTGAGTCAGTGACACTGTAATGTTCCATTTCTACAGAACATATTTTATTTTTATAAATAGATCATTGAATTCCATAGTGTGTAATTCAAACCATGCTTTGTGCTGGATGCAGTCCATTCTAAATCTCTTCCATCTGAGTCCTTTAAATGGACAATCCAGCCGCAAGTAGCGAGCCTCATAGATAACATCCTGATATGTTTAATTGTTTTTGTAAGATAAATAGTGACATACAAGCCTGGAAACTTGCAAGTACGTTTAAGTAGTAGGTTTTTTTCTTCTTTCCGTTTAGGATACTGAAGGAATTAATGAAGGAGAAGAGCTTGCATTTAATGGAATTCCATTCAGTTTATTGTCATTCATTTATTTACATACAAAACTGTACAGCATTGTCTGCCATTACAATGGCTGTAGTATGTGTCCCATAAACACCTTTTCCATAAAAGACCTTTTTATGATTCAGCAATCCCACTAAAAAGTGTGAAGACCAGAGGTCTCTGCAACTGTCACTGCAAAGCTGTCAATCTGAATATTTGTTGTAAATGAGTTATTACAATATTGTTTGGATGAATTTTAAAATGTTCCATCTTTAAAATGAGTTTAAAAAAAAATAGCATTACCATTCTTGGGTGTCTTTATGAATTCTTCCACCTGTTGGAAAAAGCTTTGGACATGTTTTTTCCTCTAGCTGTTTTGCTATAGATACTCTCAGATTTGGGGAAATAATTACTCCTGGAATAGTCACAAAGATCTTGTTTGTGCTTGTACACGTTGAGAAAACCTCAAAAGAGGTCTGATTATACTGCCGGCTGTTGCAGAGGGGGTTCTAAAACTCAGACAGTTTACTCTATACTTGATGATAGATACATGTATATTGGTTCATAGGACTAGCTCTCTGATAAACCTCAAACAGATGTATAATTTGCTGAGTATCCAGGTTTGTTTTGATAGAAAAAACAAAAATAAAAAGTCTGTGTAAGTGATTAAGCCGAGTCATTTCAGTCTACAGCATATCTCATAGTGAGTCACTGCATTGTGGTCAAAACTGTCTTAAATAATATGATTCAAAGTATCCTCTTACTTCAGGGTTGGGCAGCCCTGTCTGAGGTCATTAATCTATTTTGAAAGTACTACGGAGTATTGGCTATAAGGTTTTTGTATGTCTGGCTTGGTGGTTCCTGCTTCAACAGAACCTAGAAATACATTGGATTTGTGTGTGTGTATGTGTGTGTGTCCTTAACCCAAACTTTTTACAAACAAACTAAAAGGTATCTTGATTAACGCCTTAAATTGGCAAATGATTCCTTTATAACTAGCCCACTGTAGTGTTTATGATGCCCTTTTACCCGGTGGCAAACCGTTTTGCAATGATTTGCCTTCTTAGTTGGGTCCCTCCAAGCACTGAGTCTCTTTAGCATTGTAGAATGCCTGGCAATGTGAATCCAGCTTCAGAAGCTGAGTAATAATGCCCATGGTCATTCATTAGCTGATAGTGTCAACTGAATCCTCTAATTCGGCTAGGGAATCACTCTCTTTATTTATTAGATCATAAAAAACAAAAATAGGGAGCTGTTACCCTCTTTAAAAAGAGTCACTTAGGTTGCATGTGCTTTTAGGTGTAAAAAGCACTGTTAGTGTGATTGGACACATCCAGTTTTACTGAGATATATGCTAGTCAGTCACAACATTAAAACCACTGACAAGTGAAGTGAAACACGTTAATTATAGCATTACAAAGTCCCCTGTCAAGGGGTGGGATATATTGGGCAGCAAGTGAACAGTCCGTTCTTTAATTTCATATGTTTGGAGCTGTGAAAAGATCTGAGTGACTTGGACAAGGGTAAATAGTGAGGGCTAAAAAATTGGGTTAGAGCATCTCTCAAAAACGGCAACGCTTGTGGGTTGTTCTCCAGTATGCATTGGTTAGTACCTACCAAAAGTGGTGCAAGGAAGGTCAACTGGTGAACTGGCGTCGGGATCATGGGTTCCCATGGCTCACTGATGCATGTGGAGAGCGAAGTCAAGCCAGCCTGGTCTGATCTCACAGAATAGCTACTGTAGCTCAAATTGCTGAAAAACTTTCATTCCTTTCCCACATTTTGTTTCTTCCATTTTTATTTTTTTATGGACATGGTATCATTTAAAAAAAAAAATTATTTACAAAACCTGCCTGTCCTTTCAATTATGTATTTTTTTTATTTTTATTTAAAGGATCACTATAGTGCCAGGAAAACATACTCGTTTTCCTGGCACTATAGTGCCCTGAGGGTGCCCCTACCCTCAGGGTCCCCCTCCCGCCGGGCTCTGGGGAGAGGAAGGGGTTAAACTCACCTCTTTCTCCAGCGCCGGGCGGGGAGCTCTCCTCCCTCTTCTCCTCCTCTTCGGCTGAATGCGCATGCGCGGCAGGAGCTGCGCGCGCATTCAGCCAGTCCATAGGAAAGCATTCACAATGCTTTCCTATGGACGCTGGCGTCTTCTCACTGTGAAAATCACAGTGAGAAGCACGCAAGCGCCTCTAGCGGCTGTCAAGAGAAAGCCACTGGAGGCTGGATTAACCCTTAATATAAACATAGCAGTTTCTCTGAAACTGCTATGTTTATAAAAAAAAAAAAAAGGGGGTTAACCCTAGCTGGACCTGGCACCCAGACCACTTCATTAAGCTGAAGTGGTCTGGGTGCCTAGAGTGGTCCTTTAATTTTTTTATTTTTGTAATACAAAAAAAATAAATATAAAAACCTATATAATACCTCAGTCTTTTGCACAAATCTGCAGGATGTTGTGCTCCCACTGATATGACAGTTTCTTAAATATGTCAGGAAGTCATTTGTACCACTTCCAGCTGGGAAAAGCTGCTTAACTCACTTTGTCTGCTTCTCAGGAAAGGTCACGATAAGGAGTCATTTCCCCAGGGAATCACTTATTTCTTATATTTGTTTTTATTGTGGTAATCACCGCATAATGCTTGTTATAAGTCTTCTGTTACTTTTTACGTTAATGAGAGATTAATATCAAAGTTGTAGGTATGGTGGAAACAAATCCTCAAAATTTTACTTTTCATTATTTGTATGAGTTTGGAGTGGTATTATTGTGATAAATTGTATATAAGCCCTAGGTAAATCTTTCTTTGACATTAGTGCCCTAGACATGTTGGAGGTTTAGATGAAACCTGTTGGTTTAACTCTGAACTAACCAAGAAGCCGCCAGAGCTTCGAAAAAGTATGTCTACACAGATGGTTTTCCTTCCTCACGTTGTAACTCGTGAAGGCTAGAATTTGTCACTGTTTGTCATAGAAACATAATAATGTTTATTTAGTCCACTTCCCCGTGCAAATGGGTGTATACAAACAATTGCTGCCCAGAACTCCATACTGTTTTCCTGAGGGCTTTTAAAGATGAATAAAATGTTTTCAGAGTATCATTCTGTAAATCGTACAGAACTTTTTTTTTTTTTTTAAATGAAAATGAAGCCAATCCGCTTCAGGCTGTGCTTCCTGAAGAAACATTAGAGAATGTGCACGTGGATGGTATGGAGCCTGGAGTGTTCCTTTAAGTTGTATTAACCTGTTGTTCATGGAGTTTTTCCAGGAAGCCAATTTTTTCTTTTTTTCTATATATATATATAATGGTGGAATAAGGAGAGGAAATAAAATGTTCCCTAGGATGTTCTTTTATGGAATTTCTCAATCTTAAAATACATTTTTAAAGTAGTAAAATGGGCCTTGAAATAAGATGAAAACCTATTCATTGTGTATATATATATTTTTTTTTTTCTTACCAGGAAAAGTTAAAGCTCCGAGATGGTCCTAATGATATCGTTTTCAGCATTACTACTCAGTATCAAGGCACGTGTAGGTGTGAAGGTACCATTTACCTATGGAACTGGAATGACAAACTCATCATTTCAGACATTGATGGAACAATCACAAAGCAAGTGACATTCTTATATCCAATAAAATGATGTGTGTGTGTGTGTGTGTGTATACAATAACGTGGAAAAGAAAGTACACCCTCTTTGAATGCTATGGTGTTACATATCAGGGCATAATACCAATCTGTTCCTTAGCAGGTCTTAAAATTATGTAAGTACAACCTCAGATGAACACATGACCTATTACACAGTGTCATGATTTATTTAACAAAATAAAGCCACAATGGAGAAGTGTGGTTTAAGCCAAACATGACACTATGCATTATGGCCAAACATCTCAACTTTATTATCTAAAGGACGTTGTTCCAGAAGTCTTGTGGTTTGTTCAGATGCAGCTTTGCAAACCTAAGCTCTGCTGCCATTTTCCTTTTAGAGAGAAGAGGCTTTCTTGTGACAACTCTTCCAAACAAACCATACTTGTTCAGTCTTTTTCTAATTGTACTGTCATGTACGATAACATTTAATGAGGCCTGTAAAGTCGGAGATGTAACTCTTGGGGGGGGTTTTGCAATTCATCTGAGCATTGCACGGTCTGATGGAGTAAATTTGCTGGGACATCCACTCCTGGGAAGATTGGCAACTGTCTAGATTGTTTTCCACGTTTAAATAATCTTACTCATTGTAGAATGATGGGCTTTAAATTGTTTGTAAATTACATAATAAACCTTCCTAGTGTGATTTGGCAGTATCACTTGCAGATTATTGGGGATTAACACACACCTGAATGCTCCAGACCAGCAAACTGCTAAAATGTGGCTTTTATAGAGGTGGTCACACTTGTTGGTGATCAATTAATTAGAGGCATTTGGTTAGCAGTACCTGTCTGTTACTTAGCCCCTTAATGCCTACGCAAGCAGTAAGGGTGTACTTAGTTTTTCACACATTGCTTTTCCATTTTGGCTTTATTTTTCTTAATGATACGGTGTAATATGCCATGTGTTGTTGTTCATCTGAGGTTGTATTTACGGAATTGTTATAGTAATAATAAACGAGTACTGATTCAAAATATGGCTTTTAATGGTTTTACAGTATTGGGCAGACATAGCATATAATGCGCTCCACTGAAATTAAATTAATGTTTGCTTCCCGTTTACAAATAGTAGAATTTATGTAAAAAAAAATTTTTCAAAAAAGTATTGCTTCATTATAACTGTTTTCCATTCTGTAATTTTTGCCCTAGTAACCTTTTTAATATTAGCCCATTTCATTCATGGGGAATTAATGTTTATCCTTTGTGCGATTGTGGATATCCTAGCATACGTTGTCCATGGTCATACTCCTCCACTCCCACACATTTGTATCACCATCTTCTGCAGCATATAGTCCTTATATTTAATTGTAAATGACGTAATGTGATTTAGCCCATGGAAGTATGGTGAACGTTTATAATCCTTAATCTGTTAATTGTCTGACATCACCACATATAGTTAGGGGTGAGATCAGCACTTTAAGTTTAAAATGATCTTGAACTTCAAACAGCGGGGCCTGATGCTCATTGTCCAGAAATGAAAATCCCTTAGGCCTTTTTAAAAAAAAAAAAGAAAAAAAAAAAATTATTTATGAAGTTGTAAACCAAATTCTGACTATAAACGGAATATAATTTCTATAATTTCTATGGCAAACTACAGTACTAATTATGCTAATGCAGACTTTATATCATGTTTGTTTATTCCCAACTGGGGATAATACCTGTAAACCTTGTTCAGGTTTAGTATACCTGGTAAATGTAAACATTTTGTATTCTGTCTGTAAGTCTGTCACACTATTTGAGCCCCTCCATTTGATTTGTTTTATTTTGAGGATCCTAAAGATTGTATTGCCTTTAAAAAAAAAAAAAAAAAAAAGTTTTATCAAATCACTGTGAATGAGTAGAGGCAAAGCTCATATTTAGTGTAAGAAAATCCAATTTAGAAGTCCAGAGATGTATGCTTTTAATATAGTACTATTTGAGTTGTGATTTCTGTTAGATTGCTACCATATTGTAGGTATGTTTTGTATCTAAACCTCATTTTATATTCTCTCTCTTTTTAAAACAAGGTCGGATGCCTTAGGACAGATTCTTCCACAACTTGGAAAAGATTGGACACATCAAGGCATTGCGAAACTCTACCACTCTATACACGAGTATGTTTAAAGTATATGTGGATTTAATATGTTCTGCCAGCTGAGAAATGACTACATTTTTGGTTATTCATTGTTTGTGAAAATTAGGTCAGTCCAGCTGCGGGAACTTGGGTTGATGGTGCTGAAGAGGAATTTTTCTAAACTTTTTTTTTTTTTTATTTATTTTTTTTTTTATTTACTTTTGGATAATTTCCAAACCAGCATTTTAGGTTTTTGTATCCTGCCAAACTGAGTTATTTGACTAACCATCCTAGAATACATGCTTGCATATTGCTTTAATCCAGACTGCTTTATAAAATTCTGTTCTGAAACAATTGCTTCAATGTCTTAAACATGAATTCTAAATGACTGATGGCTGTAAAATTGCATTTTATAACTTTGTCCACCACAGATCACTACCCTATTTTGTATAAAATTAGGTTTGTTGACCTGAGGTCAGTGTTGATTCAACTTGTAATTAAGTTGCACACTGTGAGTGAGTAGAATGACTTAAATACTAAATTAATTAAATAAATTCAGTTGTATTCTGAATTGGCCTTTCTTTGACACGAATGTATGCGAATTTGCTTGTTTGTCTCATGATTCCATGTATGTACAATTTACTTGTTCGTGAGCCTGCGTTTCATAGCAATATGGTGTTTGCTATGTGTTCATTTCTGTTTGTCATGATGTACACACAAAGGAACATGATACGCCAACAACCTCTCTCACTACCTTTTTTGGTTTTTTTGCATTCAGTGGACAGGTTTCTTAATTTCTCCATTACCTATTTCACTACAAACTATTTACTGGAATGTACGAAGGAACCAATACCAACTGTCCGGTGGTTTTCCGGTTTGTATTACATTGCATTTGTCTCCTTAAACTAATCTTTTTATGTTTCTTTTTAGAAACGGATATAAGTTTATGTACTGCTCCGCTCGTGCCATTGGTATGGCAGATATGACAAGAGGCTATTTACACTGGGTAAATGACAAAGGTACAATCCTTCCCAGAGGGCCTTTGATGCTGTCTCCCAGCAGTCTCTTTTCAGCATTTCACAGGTATGAGTGCAGTTTGTGTTGCAATACATGTTCATTTTCAGTTTTAACTGATCCGTTCTCCTTAAAGGGATCCTTCAAGTACAATGACCACTTCCTTAGGGTATCATTAGTCAGCCCTGAACAAGTGTTCCAGATTAGCTAATATTAATTCTAAACATATTGTCAGCATGCACATGTTAATGCCAGGCTCCCAAGTACATTTTTTGGTGTCGTGGATCAAGACAAGGAAGGGTTACTCTTAGCAAAAAAAAAAGTTTTTGCTTGAAGTAACCCTTCAATTACGTTTGTATACAAATGATTGGTTATGTCTAAACCAAATATATTTGCAGCAGTAATTGCAGTAAATTATGTACTTGTAAATATCTTTTACAGTCTGAAAACGGGTCTTTCCTATTTAATATCTTTTAGAATACTTGTAAATGATTTGACATTTTGTAAGAGTGTTAAACTACTCTGGTCCTTAAACTCTTAACAGTACTCAAAAAAACATGGCCTCTATTTTAATATTTTTGGATAAAGTTATCAAATGTTCTTTCAAACTTAAAATGGTTTAATTTTATGGAATTTTAATTTACTTATTTTTTGCTGCATTGATATTTTTATATATGATATATTTTCTGATATTTTGGTGAAAAATATAAAACACAACAATTTTAAATTAGGGCTTGTTTGTTTAATGGTTTGTGTATTATACATTGCTTCATTTTGCACTTTTTCCAGTCAAATAAGCCGCAGACACATACATTTCTCAAACAAAGTCCATGAATTCTCTCACTTACCCCTATACTGTGCAAGTTCAGGTTATAAGATATGTGTTTATATGGATCAATCTGTGTTTGTTGGAAGTATTCCATGAGAAGATGGATAAGATCCTGTCTTTTAAATCTTATCTTTGTCTTGTGTTCATCTACATTAATAATAGTCTACTATTATTTTTTAGGGAGGTTATAGAAAAGAAACCAGAGAGGTTCAAGATAGAATGCCTCAATGATATAAAAAATTTGTTTCCGATTTATGAACAACCATTTTATGCTGCTTTTGGAAACCGCCCTAATGTAAGTGTTTTCTTCCAAGATTCTTAAAATTGATTGATTTATTTATTTATTTATTTATTTATTTTTGCACAATAAAATTCTGTCTTTCTTTTTAAGTGCATTTAGACCGATATATTGATAGGGAGAAATAAATATAAATGTAGCTACTAGTTAACCTTATGGACATATTGCCAAAATGTTGATTAGCTCACATTGCTTAAAGGGAGACTAAAGGCTCTCAGACCACTTCATGACGACTTATGAGAGCAGAACATAAAATTCTGATGATAGGAAGGCATTGAATTCAATGCTTACCTATGACAAGCCGTTAATTGGACGAGCACCACGCATGGGTTTCTCCTCCTCAATGCTTCTCTATGAAAAGGTTTGGAAGAGGAGCCTGTTTTTTTAAGTCATGGTAGGAGGAGCGGACAGCACCACCGAGTAAGCTTCGGTTCTGGGGGAAAAAGGTAAGTACAGCCCCCCTTTTTTTTTTTTTATTTAATTTAGGGGCCCAGACATCTGGCTAGCGAGGAGAATACTATAGCTTTAGGAATGTATTTTTTTTTATTGCTAATGCTATAGTGTTCCTTTATGGTACAGTGGTTTTAAAACTCACTCTGTGTTTGTATAACTAGTAATCCTGAAGTTATTTCATTTATAAATTAGGTTTTACAGTAGGATTATTTGTGTTGGGTATGTCAAAAGAGAAAAAGTGTAGCAATCTTTTTATTTTATGTACAGTGTCATTTCAGTGTTCTGAATGCATATCATGCAGAAATGTCCAGCCTGTGGCCAGCTATTGCTGCACTAAAAATCACAGGTTGGGCACCATTGCCATGAAGATTACAGTATCATTACAAGCCGTTCAAGCAGTAATAGCCATGCCTCATACAGTTGGGATCTTTTGGTTTACCTTAACGCTGTATGAGAGCGTTGCTTGAGATAGTGGTCAATTGAATAAATATGTGCTTTGTATTCAATTATTTCCACTGCTATGCCATTTTCATGTTGAACAAATGTGGAGCAGAGCCAAGAGTTATCAAGTACAGGGATCCCCTGGAAGCTGTATGTCTCCCAGCTTGATCTACTTTCTCCATGACTCAATGTTTCCTGAGACCCACATCATAATACAAACAATGTCTTTGGAATACTGCCCTGCCTCGGTGTTGAAATGTTTACTTTTAATCTTTTTTTTTTAAAGTGCCTGCTACCCATAGATACTGTTGTTTTTTTGTTGTTGTTTGTTTTCTGCTAACTATATCAGACGTATTTCATTTCAGGATGTATTTGCATATATGAAAGTTGGCGTTCCAGACTGCCGGATATTTACTGTAAATCCAAAAGGAGAATTAATACAGGAACAAACAAAAGGGAACAAAACATCGTAAGAGGCCTTTCTCACTTTCTCTAATGCATTGTAATTGCAGCTTATTGGTTCAAATTCTGTGTCTTTAAAAGTAAAAAAAAAAAAACAACAAAAAAAGTATTTTTTAAATATAAATTTGAGCCCAAAGCTGCCATTTCCATCTTCAAAAAAAAGAAAATGTCCTACAATAGAAGAATATTTTTTTTCTTATTTCTTTGAACTCTGTTTGTAATGTGACCAACAAATGAAGCTTCATTAATCGGTAGAAATCGAGGAAGGCTTCAGGTCGCATAGAGCACTAAATGAAACAGTGCTGTTAAAGTGACCTCTGTCCCAAACCTATTTAAATATGTACAAGCTAAAAATGTAATCTCTGTTGATGTCTTTAAAAAATACAACATATATATTGTAGTGGTGTAATATTGTGAAAGGTGTGTTACACTGTTTAGGACTCACACCTCCATTCTTAAATAGGTGTAGAACTTTGGGTGACTGAGTTGCAAGCGACAACAACACACTTTTGCTAGAACACAATGGTCAACATGCAACTCTCTCTTATTGGAATATTATTGGAATATTTTTTTTTTTTTTTTCCATTGTTTACTGTGAAATTTTAATGTATCTTTTTTGAGGATTTTTGTTTTAACCAACATGCCTTAAATATTGCAATTAATTTCTAATCAAGTGACACACGGCTAGAATAATTGCCTTTGCCTACAGCCAATTAAGCATTTTGATCTTTTCCATAGTGTTAAAAAGACCAGTGTCCTCCGGCTATTTTGCGACTTGCAAATAAACAAAGGAACTATATTGAGTGAAAACTTCTATGTATCATGAAATATAAAAGAAGTATTCAAACATTCAGAATTGCATTTCTGATGTTGAAAGTCATAAAATAGATCATGGCTGGCAGTCTCGGTTTGTAAATGTTAAAGGGACCTGTCACTTCTCTGTAATTCACACCCCTGAATAAAGCATTGAAAAAGGAGGCATTTGTCACACATAACAATTATAGAAAATAGTTTTCATACTTAGTGTAATTTTATTTTCCTTGATAAATCCTTGGCATCATTACTAAAGGGTTAGCTCCGCCCACTTGGCTGATAAGGGCAAGAAGTAAAACGTTAAATATACCAACCGGTCAGAATATCCGCAATATTGTTCCCAGCTTGTGAAGATCAAAGCGGATACAGTATGTTCTGTTCCACATACATTGATTTTATGTAGAACAGGGCTGCCCAAAAGGTATTAAAACTTCAGCTTCCATGATGCATTGTCATTCTAAAGGTATGCAATGCATCATGGGAGTTGTAGTTCTATAACATCTGGGGATCTACCATTTTGGCACCCCAGATGTAGTAGAAATTGAGGACAGAACATTTCTACCAAAGGCAGAAAAACTGGATGTCCAAACATCGAAGGCATAAAGAAAGTTAAAGATATTGGCAGAAAACCAGGTGGCCACTCTACAAATACTCTCTAAAGTTGTATTAGCTGCAGCTGCCCAAGAGGTTGACACATCCTTTTAAGCCTTGGATATCACCCTAATAATCCTCAAAGCATTTGAGGCAGCTTGTCCCTTATGAGAGTTGGAGGTAATGACAAATAGTTGAGTAAACGGCCTCCAGGCATTTGTCCTTTTCAAATAGACTGAGGCATCTTGCAACATCTAAAGAGTGCAAGTTCTGTTCCTCATGAGAAGAATGAGATTGAAGAAAAGTAGGAAGGATCACTTCCGCATTATTGTAAACGGAAGAAATTTGGGGAAGGTATGCAGGACCACTCTGTCAGGGGAAAAAGACGAAATAAAGGGCTTCTGAGACCAGAAGGACTGTATCTCTCTGACCGTTCTGCCAGAGATAATAGTCACCAAAAACAAACACTTCAAGGTGAGTAACCAAATAGATGTCATGAAGTGGTTCAAACTGAGACTTGGACAAGGACTAGAGGAAGGTCCCATTGAGGAGTAAATACCTTGATATGATGCCTCTTCTTTTTGACTGCCATTAGAAACCTGGACACCAAATGATTCAAGGACCGTTCAAATATCAGCCATCTCAGCTATGTCTGGCTTTAAAGAGCTGAGACTTCTCAAAACCAGATTGCAAAAATTCCAAAACATTTGAAACTGCAGGAACGGTGACCTAAACCTGTTGGATAGCACATGAATCGGAAAAGACAGACCAAATTTAGAATAGATAATGTTAGTAAAAGGAATTCTCGATGGTGGAGGAAAGAGCCTGGGTTTCTAAAGTCCTTTTGAGGCTTTGCAGGAGTGGACCCTGAATCAGCAGATCTTGCATTGATGGTAACCTCCACAGTGGAACAATTAACTACTCATACAGAACATGAAACTATTGATACCTGGGTTTAAACAGGATAATGACTATGACTTCCATCTTCTCTGTGATCTTCTTAATGACTTGCCAAGTCAGAGGAATCTGAGGAAATATATAACCTAAGTTGCATGTCCACTTGCAAGAAAGACCATTTGTGCCCAGTGCTAGAGGATGAAATAGACGGAAGAATCTAAAGCCTAGTGATTCAAAGCTGTGGCCACATCTAGCCACCTTCACATCCTGTCAATTCTCTTGAAAATCATTGGGTTCAGTTGTCATTCGAATTTGTCCATTAGACTGAGAAAATCTGTCTTGACATTATCTGGCTCTGGACATAGACTGCAGTGAAACCCAGATGTTTCTGAACAAATCATGGGTACAATTTCTTGAAGTAGACACTGGCATTATGTGCCTCACTGACATATGAAACTGATGTTCTGTTGTCCATCTTCAAGTTCACCCAATGCCCTGACAGAAAATGAAGAGCCAAGAAGGCTGCTGTCAACTCCAGAATATTCGCTGAAGCTAAGGAAAAAGGCTTCTTCCAGGTGACTTGAACATTTGAATAATCCAGATGTGCCCCCAACATTTCTTGCTGGAATTTGCAGTGAGTACCAGTCAATTCACCTCTTATGAGGTTCTGCTCCTTTGTCCACCAGAGCAGGCCATGTGTCATGCGAAAAGTGAATTAAAATCTGTTTTTCCCCCAGAGTTTGCAGCTGGACAAAACAGGGCTAGAAAAGCATCTTGAGGAATCATAATATTCCAGTGAGCCTATTTGACCAGGTCAGTGGTTGAGGACATTGAACCCAGCATACTGCCACATTCCTTTGCTGGGATGAAGACAGCCCCCAAGATCTCCTTTTTATCTTTAATATCGGAGTTTCCTTTTTTTCTCTGAACAGAAACCTCATGATCAGATCTGAATTGAAAATGGCTTCCAGAAAATACATCATCTTTGTGGTAATAAGCTGGCTTTAAAAAAAAAAATTTAAAAAAAAGGATTAACCAATCAAATGTTTGCAGCATTATAATGGCAAGGCTTATCTGAGAGTAAAGGACTGGAGAGAAAGCGGCATCCATAAGGATGTCATGCAGATAGTGGTATATCTGAAGACACTTCAAATGCAGGTATGCCACTAGTGTCACCAGAATTTTGGTAAGGTGCAAGAAGATGTTAGTCCAAAGGGCATTGCCCTAAACTGGAACTAGTTTTCCAAAACTACAAAACAAAGAAACATTTGATGATTCTGGGAGATTGAAATGAGTAAATAGCATTTTGAAGATCTGTGGATTCTAGCCAATGTCCTTGATGGACAACCATTATGACAGAGGCTAGAGATTCAATGTGAAACCGCTGGACATGTAAGTTTTAATTCACCAGATCTGCAGGTCCAGCCTTGGTCTCCAATCCCATGGTAATTTTGTGACCAGAAAAAGAGGGGGAAATATCTTCAACTGCCTTTTTGATAGCATCATCTAGAGCTTTTCCAAAAAGATGACCCTGAAAATGCAGACCTCACAAGTTTGTTTTTGGAAAAGATATCTGCTCCCCAGCCTTTAAGCCAAAGGGTTAGGTGGGCAGCCAATGAAAGGGCCATGTTCCTGACTAAAATCATAACCAGATCCAAGGAAGCCCCAGAAAGCCTATTTTAACTCTGTAAAAGGGAAACTCTTCGCACTCCTTTATCAATATCCTCCTCAAGGAGAGAAACCCATTTCATAGGTGCATTGGAAACCGCTTTGAAGCAATTGCTGATGATCCAGCATTAGTAAGATCCCAATAGGAAAGCATTGCATATTACCAGGATGTTCCCATAAAGGTAAGAACGAACGGAGTTTAACTGGGCTTCATGCAGGGGTCTACTAAAAGAGTCTGAACTGTTAGGGAAGCCAAATCAAAATTGGCCTCAGTAAAGTTTAAAAAAACAAACAAAAAACAAAACGAAATGTTCTCATAGAAAATTAGTGTCCATACAGCCAAAGGACAGGAAGAAGACCAAGTATATTCTGACATGGGGTGTATCTAAATATTTACTTCCTGCCTCATCAGCCTAGTGGGCAGAGCTAACCCTTTAGTGATGCTACCATGGATTATCCAGTAATACTGTTTTATTAAATAATAAAACAATAAAATAATAATTAAATATAGTTAGTTAACCCCATAGCATTACAAATTCTTGTAACGTGACAGATCCCATTGGCCCTATTAAAATAGTTCAGCTTGATCACATCTATTCTGTTTAGAGGCTGACTGAAGCGAAAAAGTAAAATCTACTGTTAGTACCCCCATTAATTTAAAACAAGCATGGTTGAACAGGGTTTGCAGAGATAAGCAAAAGTCATGAGGATGTGCAGAAGTAATTTGCACACTTTTTTTTTTTTTTCTGTAGTGCCAGTTTTTCCCAAGTTATAGCATGTAATGTTTACCTAATTTGGTGCACACCACTCTTGACGGAATCTCTGCCTACTTCAGGTTCAAGTGTTTATCGAAGATGATTTATGAGAGCATTTGACAACACATGAGTATGCCTTCTATGCTATATATTCTAATGATTTCTTTCTATTGAAGTAATTGATCTCGTCCCCCCTTTTATCCCATTTTAATCTAGGTACAGCCGTCTTAGTGAATTGGTTGAACATGTTTTCCCATTACTTGACAAAGAACAGAGTTCTGCTTTCACGTGTCCGGAGTTCAGCACGTTCTGCTATTGGAGAGTCCCACTACCAGAAGTAAACATGGCAGACTTGACGTAACTCACATTTTGAGCACTTCTGGAGCTGTCGATTCATATGCGATTCTTTCTGTTGGCGATTGTCCTTCTGAAGTATTATTGCTGTGGGAAGCAGGCATTTATTGAAATCATTTTAAATGCCTCTCTCCCATTTAATTGTACAGTCAGTTTGTAATCTGTAGCCAGTAAAGATATTGTATGTTATATTCAGGGAAAATGTAAAAACAAAAAAAATATTGATTTTATTTTAATACAGTATCTTAATTCATTGTAAACAAGTTTATGAAAGGATGGATAACGCGTTTTACTCTGTGTTCCAGATTCATTGATGCTAACTGAGCTATAATGATGTTCACCCTGTTATCTCGTTATGCCTATGGAGATTAACCCTTTCAGGGCTTGTAAAGCCTGACATCTATTGCAGGGCAATGGGTTGCAGACTTTACAGCTATGAAGACATAAGAATATTGTAGAAATTATATGAGAATTTCTAATTTACTGCCAATTGGTTAGTTTAATGGTCATTTTCAATATACATGACCTTTGCTTAAGCCAAATATGTACCAGTGCAATTATTTATTTTACATGCAGTTCTGCATTTCAGGCCACTAAAATGTGCTATTTTATATGGCAGAAATAGGTGGCATATTTTATAATATTTTTGTTTATTTAAGGCAACAAGCCTCGAATGTTATTTTTTCTTTCCTACGGAATATGTTCTTATGCCATCCACCCTTCTTGCCTTTGTTAATGTGGACGCACAGTGCTTTCACTATGCATTTCAGGTTTATTGTGAATCTGCACATAGTTCAAGTGGTTCACACATACCCACAACTATTTTGTGGATAGAGAAGTTTTTGTTTTTGCCAGTAAGGGTACAATACCTCAATAAACTAAAATCATAGAATCAGACATTTCATTGATGACACCGGCCTGGAGATTGTATATATTAAAAGATGTAAAGTATTACAAGAACCATATCATTTGTAAATGATAACGCAAAGGTGTGTGTTTGTATGTCTGCTTCTGGGCCAAGGCAAGTATTTATTTGTAAGTATGATGTAAAACTCTACCCAAATAAAGTGTTGAGCTATTTTAAATACTTTTTTGTTTTGAGATCTTGTATTTTGTTAACCTCTATAACTATGAATATATTATTGAAAGAAAGTACATTGTCCAGTTTTTCTTGTCACACTTTCAAATTGTTTTAAAATATTTAATGTGCTCGATCAATATTGAATAATTCCAAAATGCATATGTCAGACTGAAAATGTGAGTGAAAATTGTATTTCACCAGTTTGCTAGTTTCAAAATCTGTCAGGGATCTAGTTTTTGTTGCCCAAGTGAATTGTGCTACATTTATAGACCTTGGAAGGATGAACGATTAAGTTGACCTCACCAGGAAATCAAACCTGTCAATCTGAAATGCAACAACTGACTTAATCATTGAACTCCCTCATCCACTTTTATTTCTAGTGTATCCATCTTCATCGGTTTCCAGATTGCAAGAACCCCATTCTTTTTTTATGTGTTGTAGGACCCTAATATGTCTTGTGAAAAACCTTTACTCCCTTACCCCACCAAACCATTCTATGTTAAATACAATATATAACTGAATTTCCTACCTCTTATCATATGCGAAATAGATTCTGCAGTTGTAAATATGAATGCCCACAGTTAATATTTACACACTAATCCTGAGATACTGCAAAAACTCTTTACCATTAACGACTGCAACCATGTTATATATCCATATATATTATTAATGCTTTAGTTCCTACACCCAATCAAACCATACATGCATGTGCTGCCAAAGGACCCTCATCCATTGGAAGATAATTAAATTGTCAGGTTTAACAAAATGTATTAACTCACCCATATATTCCATCCATTCCCTTGAGCTACGTCATAACACCTAAAGAGTTAAACCTGCACGCGGTGGCGTTACATCTGGAACCAATCGTATATGCATGTATTTGCAACATGTATTCTTGGCACATCTCCATGAATGTTGATGTGAAATACCTTCAATTCCTAGAAATAACTGGATGGGATGTGGTCAGAAAAATGCCCCCACAAGGCACAAAATAAAATCACAAAGGTATTACATGAGTTATTTTATTATGGCCTTAGAATATTTTCAAATTGGGGTTTAAAGCCAGCTGTTGTAGGAACACTACTCATGCTACCTTTTAGTAATGGATGAAAGCTGCACTCCGACAGTGTGCCTAGGGAGACTGAATGCTAGTATAATATAGGGCCATCATTATAGGTTTTGATTTAGTTGCCATAAAACATAGAATAAGTTGCTCCTCGGAAACTGGATAGAATTGTTATTTTCGAACATTGTTTGCAGACTGTCTTTTGAGCTTAGTTTATCACTTGCAGGTATAGTATTGCACTGGATAAAAACACTGCAGATTTTATGTTATTGCAACTTTTTTTTCCCCTCAAAGTGCTAACATGGCAATTAAACCTGAATACTGAGGTTTAAGTTTAGAAAAAAACAACTCGTACAGTTGTCCGAACTAATTGACAACTTTTTGTTTTCAAAGAAAAACACAACAGAGAGTTCAATTATACAAATTTTAAATTATGATATAAATAGATAAAATTAAGCTTATATTTATTAGTATCTCCAACAAATGCAATACATACACACAGACTGCTGAACACATACACACACCGACCGCTAAATACACACACACACGTCCGCTAAATACACACACACTGTCCGCTAAATACACTGACAGACTGCTGAATACACAGTCTGCTGAATACATACACTGCTGAGTACACACACACACATGGCTGTATACATAGACTGCTGAGTACACACACACACACACTGCTGAATACATACATACACACACAGACTGCTGAGTACACACAGTCTGCTGAATACATACACACAGACAGATTGCTGAATACATGCACACACCGTCCGCTAAATATACACACACAGCCCGTCTGCTAAATACACACACACACCGTCTGCTAAATGCGCGCACACACCGTCTGCTAAATGCACACACACACGTCCGCTAAATGCACATACAGACAGACTGCTGAATACACACACACACTCAGACTTCTGAGTATATACACACAGACTGCTGAGTACACACACACAGACTGGTGAATACATACACTGCTGAGTACACACAGACTGCTGGATACACCCACAAAGACTGCTGAGTACACACACTGCTGAGTACACACAGTCTGTTGAATACATACATACACACACACACACACACACACACTCAGACAGACTGCTGAATACATAAACTGATGAATACACACACACTCAGACTGCTGAGTACACAGTCACAGACTGCTGAATATACACACAGTCACAGACTGCTGATTATACACACACATACTGCATTGAGGGGTGCAGTGTATGTGTTTGTGTGTAAGGGTGTGGAGTGCTGTCTGTGTGTCTGAGGGGTGGTGTGGGGGGAGGGGTAAAGATTCATTTAAAAAAAAATTAATTCTGTATTCCCCCTCCCTCCCCCCTCTTCCCTTTGGTGAAGGAGGGGGGACACAGACAGCCCTGGTGGTGGTAAGTATTGTAGGAAGCAGCTCTCCTGTCCTCCCGCGCGATGCTGTGTGGAGCGTTGCCATGGTAACGCGCGGCAACACTCCACACAGCTTGCTCGCAGGAGGATAGGAGAGCTGCTTCCTAGAGCCCTCCCCCTGCCTCCCGACCCAGAAGCAGAGTAGGCGCCTGCCGTTTCGAGCAGGCAGGTGCCTACTCTGTAGACAGCCAGCGGCCCCCTCTCCCGGCGACCTATGGCCGCGTGCCACAGGTTTGCCATCACTGCCCTAGGGTGTCTACTTGTCAAAAATATATGGTTTGATGGGGGTAAATTACATTTGCCGGCTTTAAAAATGTCCCCAATAGGACATGGGTGAATGATGACCAGCTGTGAAAATTCCAAGTTGGGAAAACTGGAATGCGCACCCCCCTGTATGTTAAGGTATTTTAGCCCCCAGAGAACCCAACACACCTGTACATGGGTGGTATCCCTGTATTGAGAAGATGTTGATGAACACATATTGGGGTATTCTTTGCCAGTAACCCTGAAAGTTCTCTTTACATGTATTCTTAAATTGCTATGTGTGTCAAAAGAATCACCAATTTATTTTTTTAAATTTGGCATAGATTGGTAGTATGAAAATGGTTGCATGAAAAGTCAAAATACCCCAAGTTTAATACATTTGGTTGTCTTCTTTTACAAAATATATACATGTGAAGGGTTATTCAGGGATTCCTGACAGATATCAGTGTTACAATGTAACTTGTGAGCGTTTAATTTTTTTTGGGGAAAAAAATGGTTTGGAAATAACAGTGTTACTTGTACTTATAGCCTAGTGGTTCCCAAACGTTTTAGGTTCAAGGCGCCCTTAATATTTCAATACTTTTACATTTTGTTTGTTGGGGTCTGTTCAACCCCATGCCAAGTGCTACAATGCCATCCAACAGCCTCTGTGAATAACTCCTAACAGTGGACTGCCACCTCCGCCCTTTTACCCTGGCACAGACAAGTAGAGAATGACCAATTGGAGGCTTCTCATTGAGAAGCATTGCAGGCCAGCCATACGTGTGACTGTCCAGAAGATATTCTTTAAAACCCTTGGATCCATCTCAATGAAATGTCATATATTACAAAATTATTTTTCAGCAGGAGAAATGAAAGCATTGATTGTAGTGTAAGGCCACTAAAATTTGTGTAAAATGGCATCACCAACACTTGTGTTAACAAAATCCAGAATAAACATTGTGTGACGGAACGCTGGCACTCCGACTGAGTACCTCCGCCAATCGATGCGCCTAGTGATCGCTGAAGACTCCAAGCACTCCAACCGACTTCATCAGCACTGCAGACCCCACTTCCAGCGATGCAGCTGCGCTGGGGTCTCACCGTCTCCACCCACCCTGGACCCAGGGTCCAGCTTCCAGTGGGGAACCTCTCTTTCCCCAGAGAGCAGAACCAGGAACAAGCTCTTAGCAGAGCTTAGTGATTATATCCTGGGGAGTATAGTGATTATAGCAATCCCCAGAGTGTAGTTCTCCAATTCCCCAAACATGAGCCAAGGCTTCAAGAAAGGTACAAGATGATCTGCTTTTAATGACCACACACTGGCTTTTATGCAAGTCCCCATGCAAGGGGATATCCCACAGGGTGGGACACAGTACAACCAATCGTTTACAGGAAAACTGTAAAACACAGCACCAACATCCCTCCCCTCTGCCTGTGATATAATTACTGAACACAATGGGTTAATGTAATTTATCACAGGCAGGAAAAATACACTTTTTACACATATACTGTAACTTTAAAAATATGCATCATATTCACATAAAACATACATATTCAGAATCTGCATACTTTAAATATAAACATAACCAGAAATCATGCAAATCCTTCCATTAGTTCAAAAGTTAGTCGGAAGTCCTTTGTGACCAATGAAGCATGGCTTTTCTGCCCAAAACTAGTTCCACAGTGTCTTCTATCCTGGAGATAATTGGAAAGTAATCCAATTATCTCCAAGGACAGAGGCAAAACTCCATTGAACACATGGCAGCAAAAAGACATAAAATGACACAATGTTACAATTACTACATAAAACATATACATGCAACAAATCCCCAGATAGCTTAGATCTGGGCGCACATTATTACGAAATGGCGCTCAGATCACATATATACAGTTCAATCGCCATGGAGCCATAGTCTTTTGTTACACGAATAGGCTCCATGGCATAGCTATCTGGGGTAGCACTACTACCATACTGAAAGTCCAGAATGCCCCGGCAGAAATACACAAATAAACCTTTCTGCAGGCGAAAATACAGCTATCAGCACATGGGCCATAGTCGGAAGGCAGGAGGCTAGCCAATAGTCCCCTTCAGGCACAAGTGGCGAAGGGCACTTCGTCACACATTGTATGTATTATTTTCCAAGGATTGGCAACATACGAATGTATGGATACCATTGTTGTACACTTTCATAAACACTTCATTCTTAATGTTTTTTTTGTTGGCAGCTGTGGCTAGCCCCATGCAAAGTACTCCAATGAGATTCCTACAATTCTTACTAGTCCTAACCTTCAAGGATGGAAAATTTATAAACTCATTACTCACCATCATTATATGAT